AGAAAGAATTAGTTCGTAGAAAGAAAGATGTGAAGTGATCTTAATCTCTTAGTTTAAGAGAAGACAGAGAGTGTATACACCGACGCCATTGTGATCGATTCTGAGCCATGTCACCAAGGGTCTCCAACCATTGGTTACGAAAGTCACGCGGACCCCAACCAAGTAGTCTGCATCTACCAACATGGCTCAGACTAGAAGTTAGTGACTTCAGGCACTGATGCCACGTTTTGGTTTGGCCGCCCCTAACTTTCTTCCAACCATCCCCTACACCGGTTAGCATTGCACGTCGCGGTAATCGGTGTTCAGGCATACGTAATACGTGGCCCAACCATCTCAGTCGATGAAGATTCATAACCTCATCAACTGATTTACCATCATTCCCTAATACCCTGCGTCTAACCTCACTATTACTTACCCGGTGATCCCAGCAGATGCCAGCAATATTTCTAAGGCATCTGTGGTCAAATACTAGTAGCTTACGGGTGTCTTCTACTCTTAAGGGCCATGTTTCGCTGCCGTAAATTAAAACAGAACGGACAGCCGCGCAGTATACTCGTCCTTTTATTGATAGACGGATATCTCGCCTCCGCCAAAGGTGACGTAAGTTGGCAAAAGCCAAACGAGCTTTACGAATCCGTGCTGAGATTTCGTCAGACACCAACCCATTAGGGCTGATCAGACTTCCAAGATAAGTGAAGTTGTCAACACGTTCGACTACTTCACTCCCTATCCTTAGTTCAGGTGTTGACGCAGACCAGTCCTGAAGCAACAACTTGCATTTAGAGGGAGAGAAGCGCATCCCAAACATTCTGGCATTGTTGCTTAGTGCTACCAGAAGACTCTGCATTTTGTCAGCGTCTTCACCAAACAGGACTATGTCATCTGCATATTCTAAGTCGATAAGTGGACCTCCTGGAAGGAGATCAATACCCGAGAATTCAGTCGACGAGAGTGTTATTTCCATCAATAGGTCTATGATGAAGTTAAACAAAAATGGAGAAAGTGGGCAGCCTTGACGGACACCACTTGAGGTTGTAAAGGTAGATGACAGTTCGCCATAAGCCCTGACTCGACTAGTAGTGTTCGAGTAAAGAGCCTTCACAAGGTTTATGTACTTCTGAGGTACGCCTTTCAATGACAGACACTGCCACAGAGTCTCGCGGTCTACAGAGTCAAATGCTGCTTTTAAGTCAAGAAAGACCACCATCGTCGGACGCCGATAGGTATGCCTGTGTTCTAGAACCTGACGAATGGTGAATATGTGGTCGATGCAGCCACGACCAGGTCTAAAGCCAGCTTGGTTCTCTCGTGTTTGTAGTTCACGAGTCTTAGTTAGGCGTTTGATAATTATCGAGGCCAGTATTTTAGATACTATGTTTGTTAAACTAATCCCTCTGTGGTTGTCACAGGATGATTTTGACCCTTTCTTATATATTGGGACGATAAGTGATTGCGACCAGTCAGATGGGATAACGTCTAACTCCCAGATTTTAGCTAAAATATTAGTCAACCTAGTCGCTAAAATTGGACCACCATCCTTAAAGACTTCTGGAGCCAGTCCATCTGGACCAGCTGCCCTTCCTCGTTTCAGATTAACTATAGCCTTCTCAACTTCAGCAAGAGTTGGGGGACCTACTTCAATGTTCCATTCACTTTGTCTGGGAATGGAGGGTAGTTGTAGAGTAGCTGAAGGCCAGCTGAACTGTTCTCTAAAATGTTCCGCCCATCGTTCTAAACGTCTGGACTGGGAGCAGATGAGAGTATCATCTTTTTCCGAAATAATCTCACTTACACTTGACTTATTAATTCCAGTTTCTTTTATTAGTCTGTAAAGCTGTCTTGTGTTCCCTATAGTCGCCGCCTTTTCCATCTCTTTTGCTTTCGTTACCCACCACTGCTCACGGTCGTTCCTTAGACTTTTTCTTAACCTAGATCTGATTTGTTTACGCTCTTCATCATGTTCAGAACCTGATGGGACGAGTTTGCGAGAATCCATCAGTGTGACAGACCTTGAAGAAATCCACTGGTTCCTTGTAACTCTGTGGTTTAAGTCACTAATAGATGTCACTGCTGTTTCCACAGCTGCTTGTATGTCCTTCCAAGCAACATCTGGGTCAGCCTCGTCTTCACAACTACCTAAGTGTGACCTCAGTTGTTCCTGGAACCTACTTTTGGTTTTCTCGTTACTCAACTCAGTTCTAATGGGTCTTTTTAATGTGGCTTTTTTGCGTCCAGTGAGGCGCAAGCAGATGCGTGCCCGTATTAGGGCATGGTCGGAGTCCAAGCAGGTGCTCCAGAATGAGCGACAATCTTCTACCGACCCTCTCCAACGATGACTGATGGCAATATGGTCTATTTGAGTCCATCGTTGGTTTGGTGTAGGGGGTCGCCATGTTAGACGATGTCTCTCCTTATGCTTAAAATTTGTGTTTGCTAAAAATAAACGATTGTCTGAGCATAGCTGCAGCAGACGATCACCATTATCTGTTCGCTGTGTCGGAATACTAAAATATCCACCTAAATGCCTTTCTGTTTGGTTTAAACTGCCTATCTGAGCATTAAAATCACCTGCTACGAGTACTATGTCTGAGCGTTTAGCTTTCTGAAGAAGTTCGGATAGCTTTCTGTAAAATTCATCTTTCACTTCATCTGAGCTGCAGTCAGTGGGAGCGTAGGCAGAAACGACAAAAAGGCAACGACGTGTGTCCCTATCCTTCCGAGTTCTTACGTAGCCGTTCAGCCGAACAGCACATAGACGACTGTTGACGGGGATCCACTCTAGCAGTGCTTGTTCGGCCCTTATGCTTAGTGCTATGCCTACACCTGCCAGTCCACGAGAACTTGCCATCGGGTCACCGGACACACGAAGGGTGTATCTCGTTGGCTCTCCGTCTTGCCGAGGTGAGGTCAAGTGAATGACCACACTGGAATCCTGTATGCGTGTTTCGGAGACACAGCATACATCAATGGAAAGAGACTCTAGGGTTTTAGCCAAGGAAGCCTGCTGACCGATTTGACATAGGGTGCGTACGTTGAAGGCTCCAATGTGTAGTTTGGAGCGAGGTTTCAGTAGACCTGGGACAGTGTTTTGCGCACTAGAATCGTTGGCTACGGTGACACTTGAGGTGGAAGCCGAGAGAGGAAATACAGAGTTGAAAGTCGATGTAGGAGGAATAATAGGAATTGAAGAAGGAGGTTGATTATGAATACAGTGGACTTGAGTGCTGTTAGAAGTATGAGGGCGGTTATCACTTCCCGGTTGCCCACACCGTGGAAGGGTTGTTCTGGAGGTACCTGAAAAGGAAATTGGATTAAAGGTGGTCTTAGTGAACTGAGAGCGTGACCGCAGTGCCCAAGGGACAACTGCTTGAGGTCGGTCACACACGACCTTGTTATGGGTAATTTTTGTGTTAGCTCCGTACTTATTGAGACCTTACCGCCGGAGACGGATATCCGTGGGATAAGGCGAGGTGTGCATTTTTAGGGTCGACCTTTTCTAACCCCACCCCTCCTTGTGGGAAGGCAGCATCGCTGTCATGCTGGTTGTCTGAAGGAAACACCTTACTGCTGTCACACCTCTGTACAGTCAGCAGTACGACTTCGCCTTCGGACCTTGGGTTTGTTGCTTTTAGTCTTACCGCTCTTCAACCGACCTGTCTGACATGGTAGGACCTTGAGGAACGGTTGTTCCAGCCAGTATAGCTCGGTTGCTTCATCACGATAGGCAAGCCCGACCACCACGTCAAGGTAGCAACAACTGATTTTTTCTTTCCGTATTATATTCCTACATAAAATCTCTCCTTTATATATTACACCACTGAGTTAACTGCTTCTATGAATCCGGTGTTCGTCTTGCTGTGCTAATGAGGTGTGGCAATTTGGACCGATGCATGTATGCGTCTCGTCCTATGTTGTAACTGACTGACTGAAGCTAGATAATAGTAGAAGCAATAGGAATGATGTGCACAAAAAATAATCTGAAGATTTGGGTCCACTTAAATAAATAAAACACTAGACTGTGTTACGACTCACTGAAAACCTAGGAAATGATTCGTAAGAAGTCAAAACTGGGGGCTTTACAACTAAATATTGCCAGTATGAAACAGTGCAAGTGGCTCAGTTTAAACACAAACTTACAAGGCCAACTAAAAAAGAGCTAAACCAAAATATTGATTATCCTGTGGTTAAAACATTCAGTGTGTAGCATTTTTACAGAGAACAAAAAGGGTCGGCGAAACTCTAATTTACGGACGAGCCAATCAGAAGCGTTTGAGCAATTTTAAGGTCACTGAGTCAAGTTCAACACGCGATGCTAACATACGATCGGTTCACAGCGGATTTTAGAGAGGTGATTAATGAGAGGTTACAACAGATGGGACGGCGAGACTAAATTAGGGACGAGCCCATGAGAAGCGTTTGAGCAATTCCAATTATTAGTCAATCAGAAGACAGTATAAAGTAAAAATATATTTCAAGAAAGTAATGAATTACAGTGGATATTTTCTTTTACATGATTAAAAAACTTGTTAAGGTTTGATAAAGGCTCAGAAGTTCTGAATTCATAATGCATACGTCTTCTCACCAGTAGACGAAGTTAACGACCGAATAAACTAAATAGGTTGTCGCAAAGGTATTGTTATGCGCAGCAACCTAAAATTAACACAATTTTCCATAGCTTTCAAAATCTGTTAGATTAAGTAGCTTCGTTAATCCTAAATTTAGGATTACCAAGATTTTAAGCTTGATAACAACACGAACTAGATCTCAGTTTTTGTGTCAGCCAACATGATTGCTACTAACTTATTTAGTAATATCGTATGCTGTTGGTGACTTCCCTAAAGGCAAGAGTCTACTACCCAACACACCAGTAAATAATTGTCTCACCGATATGTAACCCGCATAGATGTACGCAATAAACGCAAACCATAAGTGTGACTGAATACATGGAGTGGTTATACGGTTCGCAAGGAACTAATTTAACTAGTAAAAAGTCTACGTACCCAAAGTTCAACACCCCAACTGAGTTCATCCATTTCTGTGACGAACAATTTGAAAACACGCGCTCAAGACAAAATCATAGCTTCGAAATAGTGGAACATGGTTCTTCGTGGTGGAAATATACAAATTATGATATCGATTCCTCAGGAGCTTTAAGCAGCAAAGCATTACTCATTAGCAAGACATGGGCGATACAGTACATAAGAAATAATGAATGGGTATTCTCTTCGGAAATAATAATTTTATTGGATAAAACTAGCTTAAACCACACTGTTGAGCATACACGTCAGCTCTTCCAGTAATAAAAAGCTCATCTTTTAAGCTACACTTGCTATTTCCCGAATTCTGAGTTGTTAACAGAAACCTAATTTGTAAACAATCTTTAACAATGTTCCCGTTTCCCATAGTTTCAAATAATTCGCACATTTACTGTTACCGGCTCCAAAAATGTCGTTTAAACTTGGCCATGAACTCCCGTAACTACTTTGTCCTCTGCTCTCATGAATTACTGATTATTCCTCATAAACACACTTCTGCACATACAATTCTCGTTCCCACTTGCTAGCTGCCGTGATTTCAGACCTCTAATATAATTACTATTTAGGTTAACATTCCACACTGATTTCCCCCTATGTGATTGTCTCTGATACTCACGTATAGGCAAGTATATCCCAAAACTATATAGTTCAGTAGGTCATCGACAATGTTGCTGACCACATTAATTTACTGGAAATGTCCTAACTGAAGGCAATCGGTCAAGCATCCACATCAGATCATGAGTGGGTACGCTATGCTACGCATCCCTTGTGACTACTAGCTAGCTTAGACCAAACGCTTATTGCAATGTCGACAAATTTGAAAATATATCTTAGAACTTCATCATTCGTGACTTCTAATTTGACTGAGTCGGTATCCTCTGATTACAAAGGTGTTACCGAACAAGCGTTTTCAAACCATTGACATTTCGGCGGTGTATTAGATAATTTACTGTGAGTCTATTCCTTGTTGTAACAGTATATATCACTCATATTTACATATTTTGATAAATCTGTACTCTCAGATTTGTTCACCCACTAATATGTTTTGCCCAACAAAAGCCAATGTGATCCGAAATCAACTCATATTGACAGCATATTAACACGAACATTGGCTTTCTAACTTGAACCAAAGTAAGAACCAACATTATTATCTCTACAATGTTGATTTTTTTATTTATGAGTACAGGTTTCTTGTACTGCTCATAAATTAAGTGGCTAACCGACGGTTGCTCATTTGCATCGTATTGTGACTTGATAAAATACCTCTGCACTTAGTCATCATTCATTATTATGATCCCTCTTTACTTGACGTTTGAATAATGTTCACGCAGATTTTCATTTTAAGCGTGTTTGGCATAAAACCAAACATTCTGGAATTTTAACACGTATTTCTCGATCAGTTGCTGCCATCTTTTTGATTTATCTCTGAATTTGTTAATACCTGGTGGATTCTTATTATTCCTTTGATAACCTCTGACGCGCAACAATCCTACTCGATTTAGCATCGAACCAACATCACCTTGATTCGGATGGGTGGGTAATGTAGTAGTGTTGGTTCTAACCACACTATGCTCAAAGCTGAACATGAAATAAACAAGAAAATTCCCATTCAACATTTAACACGGAGAGAAGGTCAACGATGATGAACACGAGAAGTATTGACTAGGGTGGCATGACCCCGTCTTGCAGGTGTGGTCACCCCACGTGACCTCTTCCCTTTTATGTTGAATATATTACTCTCCTCCCGGCCTAAATGTTGTCCTTCTAAAGGGCTAGACATCATATTGTTGAATGTAACGTAGGACGAGTCAGGTTAGACTATGATGTGACTTCCACGTAAGATCTTATAAATTAGATAGTGGGATCATAGCAAATCTAAAATTTCGAGATAGTAGCAAATGCACTAATATCGAAGTGAACAGCTATTCTGCAAGGCATTTGAAAGCAAACTCCAAACAATGCCTAACAGTTTGTAGCAGAACAAAGATAGGATAGATTAGCAGATGAAGCTCATACTAGTTGTTATTCTAGAGTGAAATATCATTATAGCCTTCATGTAGAAGAAAACAGTAACGAAGAACAATGAGTTGTAATATGTAACAAGGTGGAATGGGTTCAGATATTGAAATATAAGTCTAAATTGGAGTAAGAAAGGATGTTTATCAAAATTCAAAGTGAATCGAAAGATGGTAGATTAATAATAAGCAGTAATAACTAGATGCATTACGATACTTTAAAGAGGGTGATCCTCGGTCGGTGAAACCTAACCGACAAAGGTTACACCAGCTTTTCCTCAATGTACAATCGCAACACGGCTCAGCGACAGAGATGTCGTTGCGTACGCAGAAGGTCATTGGTCAACGGACTATAGACGAAGGCACTCTTAGACAATTACTCATAAGTAAGTCTCACCCGACAGGCAGAAGCACTTCTCGACCCATTTTAAAATAATGTTGCAAACAAACTGGCTGCATCTGGAGATCAGCAGAACCCCCTATTGCATCGAAGTTTGTTCTATCAAAGGAAATCCCCAAACGACACAAAATAACATTACGTATTTCTATGACACTCAATAGTTGTCATAACACTGATCATAGTCGCTGACCCTCTCGAACTCCTCGAGGAACATCATCACGATAGAGATGTGCCCCCAGACTACGAAATAAAAAACGCTCTTGGTTGATGCTAGTACCACAACAAGTATGGTAGGTTTTCTAGAAATTGCAGGAGACCCTGCAGTTTTCCAAAACTCAAACCCTTCGGTACACAATAAAGGCGTTCGTAACCGGTGGACATAGCCGTCTGTTATACATCACTGATATGATGACAAAACTTCGCTACCTTGTCGACACTGGTTCAGAAGTGAGCGTCCTTCCCACGAATTCTAACGACTGTCTTCATGGACCGGTTTTAAAACTTAAATGGGGTAAATTAAAAAGTTGTTGCCATATCCGATAAGTGTTGTGTTCATCCTAACATGGATTTACGCAGACCCATTCACTGGATTTTCGTTGTTGCAGATGTTCTTATGCTAGTGAATGGTACAGGCCTGTTTCAACACTGCGGTCTACTCACCAACCCCAGAAAACGGAGGTCCATGGAGGGAAGTACTAAATTTTCTGCATCTGAAACTTCATCTTCTGGCTGTAGGTTATGCCTAGTTCCAGTCAAACAAAAAATTGATCAACACTTCCAACAGACACACCACACGTAGCCGGAAATTCACAAGACACTACCGGAACTGCTGTGTGCGACCTGCAATGTTACAAACAGTGTCGTTACTAAAAGCCCATATGTATTTTTGAAGGCGCACCAACCAGCTCCTGAAGAGCTGAGAAAAATCAAAAACTAATTCGAACGCATGATGAACTTGGGGGTGGTCCAGTCTTCGAACGCCTCATGGACATCTCTTTCCCCACTCCCGACCGTTACCCCTTACCATGCATCCATAACCTGACAGAAACCTGAGAAGTTACAACAGCTTCCGCATAAGTCCATCTGGCTAACGCGTATGACCAAACTCTCACGGCTCCAGAGGACACCCCTAAGACGGTTATACATCCTTCTACCTAAGACTCAACAAATATTCACGCTTACCTAACTGACTTATGGAATGATACACAGAATTTTCAAAGATTCGTCGATGATGTATTCAAGGGTTTCAACTTCGTACCCGCATATGTAGATGACTGCTTGATAACATGTCCCAACAGAGAATCTCGTTTCCGGCATCTGGACCTTGTTTTCAATCAACTGAAAACGCGGTATTAGTGTAAACATTCGGAAGTGTCCGTTTGAAACAGACTCCCTTGACTTTCTCGGACATACTGTGGACGTGTAGAATTATGGTCTACTTCGTCATTAATTTGAATGATTCTTTCCGCCTTCTTTATTTTGAGTTATTCTCCGCATTGAGCGTTGAACATCTACTTCAGTCGTTTCGTGTTCAACTTTGAGGATTGTTTCGTTAGGGCCCGATACCACTACGGACGCTCAAACTGCTTTTCCTCTGTAAGAAAGTGGCGGCCAATGTGGATTACCCACAGTCGACCTCAGTTATGCAATTACGCATGTTAAACGGCCTGGTAACACCTGAAAACCCTTGGAGCTCTTCTTGTGACAGTTCCAATACACCTAATTGGGGTATGAAACCCTCAGTAGGGAACTCATATCCACGTGTTGTGCTGTGCGGTACCTCAGTTACTTTGTGAAAGGACGAGAATTCAGTCTGTTTACCGACCACAAACCTTTTACTTTCCCTGCAAGCTCATCTTCAGACGGGTATTTCTCTCGAGAATCTTTACAACTGAGCTGCACCTCGTAGTTTGCCCCAGACGTACAAAACATTTCTAAGGCGAACGGTGTGGTAGCAGACGCCTTGCCTAGCATAATATCCTTAAACAGTTTCCGAAGGATCGCCATACCAGATTCAACTGGATACATTTATCTCAATTTATGTAGACTGTTTCACCCGATGGCCAGAAGCGGTACCCAGCAGGGACATTAATGTTGAAAAAGTCACACACGCTATCGTCGAACGATCGGTAGCAAACTTCAGATGCCTTTCAACTATCAATACAAACCGTAGATGGCAGTTTGAACCTGGACTTTTCCATTGTCTGACTACACTATAGGGAATCGCACGATTCTAAAAGGCCGCCCAACGCTTTTATTGGCAGCTTAAAGCTTCACTCTCGGATGCAAACGTTTCACAGCGGACTGACGCTCCTCCATTGGCTTTACTTCTCATTAGCAATGCCGTGAAAGCTGAGGCTGGATAAATTGCAGCACTAGTTTACGGAAAGACACTCGGACTTCTGAAAGCATTCATGGATCATCCTCTTCAATGGATATAAATCCACACTCTTACACGATCAAGATTACAGAGGCCATGTGTTTAGTTAAACCTGTTTCCATCCAGCAGTAGTCAAATGATAAATTCGTTCAACCTATCCTACAACATAGTACACATGTTTTTGTATGTCACAATCTATTACAACGACCACACGAAACGGCTTACGAAGGACCCTTCAAATTCCTCTTTTGCCAAACCAAATATTATGCCATTGGTAAAAACAAAATCAATGGTAAGATCAGCATCAAACGTCCCAAAGCCATTTATTTACAAGGAAACATTTATTATACTCTCTTTCCTCCCGAATAGTCGACTAACACATGCTTCATTGCTATGATGTTACCTACGATAATTAACGAAAGGTAATGTTTCCAGGACACGTGAACGACCACTACATGTAGGATACTGTATATGTTTTTTGTTTGCTCTTGCATCCCGTGTCCCGCAAAAATATAGCCATATCCTGAATTTCTTTTTATATATTATCGTGTTGAAAACAAAAATGCTGTTTTATTTTAATATGTGCTCATACATGAATATCATTTTTCATAAGCCAAAGTCAGAAAGCATGGTTGCGCCAAAATTATTCACGCCGTCACATGGCATATATCCACAATTATTCTAGTTTTCATGTTTTTCTTCCTTACGCAAATAAACGTGTATTTAGACATTCATTTATATTTTCTTCCTTTTTTGGACGGCTGGGAAAGATTAAAACCCGAAAAAGAATGCTATGAATCAAAGTTTTTGTTGTATGTATTTTAATTGTTGCACTGAAACGCGTAGCCCAATTATATTAAAGAAACGCGAGCAGATGCTTCTGGAGTAGCAAGCTACCAGAATTGTGTTAACCAACGTCAAGCTCGTAAAGTCCTAAATTATGACTGGACACATCTCAGGTTCATTGCTACCTTACGTGGGGTGAATAAGCAAAAATGGTAAATAAATCTACAGAAAATATAGTTCTGTAAGTCTTCGACTGGAATTCAAACTCAAAGTGTCTGTTCTCTAGCTTTGCACACCAGGGCAAAACGAAATTCCAGTTGAGCTGACTGTTCTGTAATAGCCTAGGCTGGCTGGTCAATAGTTCACCACAAACAGTTAAGCATATATCAAAACCGTATAGTTCAAGTATTCATTCACTTCCTTATTTTGTATAGGCGGTCAATCTAATCAGCACAGTAGTTAAGGTAGTTGTTAAAACTTTTTCGGGCTACTTTACCACGTCACATAAAATCTTACAATCTGTTAACGCCTGAGCAACGCGGGTTTCTTAGTAAGCATTCGTGCTTAACCAACTTGCTTATTGCAAGAGAAAATTGGACAGCAGCCCAATTTAACAGTTTTTCTGTCTATGTGATATTCATAGATTTTAACAGAGCATTTATTAATAATTCGCACTCAGGCATTATGCAGAAGCCCTCAAGCTTTGAACAGCAGGTGCCACATATGAATAGATAAAAACGTCCCCTAAGGCCGAAGACAGAGAGTTAGTGTAAATGAGACACTTTTTGAATGGAACCCTAATGCATTATCTTATGTTCCTTACTTTTTCTTCTCTACGTCAACGAATTACTGAGACTAGTGAAGCCGTCGTCATTATTATTTACAGACGATGTCAAAATCCGGAGACCAAAAAGTAGGCAGACTGATTATTTTCACGTCCTATTAAAGATCCTAGCACACTTGAGCGTGTTCAGAGGGCGGAAAGAAAATTAATAGAGGGTCGTTCCAAACTGCCGAACAATGAGTGCCTAAAAGTCGTGAACCTTTTCTCCCTATCGTGTCTTAGAACTCGAGGTGACCTTAGATCAACATTCTGTATCTCCGACAACGATTCAGATGTTAATATTTCTTATTTTTTCGCTCCCTCTAGAAGTGATCATCTCTGAGACCATAGCAAAAAGGCCCAAATGCCGCGATCTCAAAATCTTATAGTGGGATTTCGTTTCTCGCGTCGAGTAATTAATAAGTGAAACTCCCCAACAGCTGGAAAACAAGGTGAAAAGGTTGACAAATGTCCAACAACCTATTGTCCTTATTAAAGATTACCGCAGGCTGAAGACCATCAAATGACTGTGCTACATGTGCTACATGACGGCAAATAGGTTAGATGTTGCGTTGCCTTTTAGAGGTAGAGAATGAATTAACAAGTATTTATTGTCAGTTCTGACAGTATACATCACTCCCAACATTCATCACTTGAATGGTCTGCGTGGCTACTTGTTGGCCATAAACTTTTCTTCATCCCAACAACATGTCTTCAGAAAAGGTCAACCTTGTATAACCAACCTGGACAGATGAACAACCATCATTGATCTTATGCGGAAGTTTGACATCACATGTCCCGACTTCTATAAAGCTTTTGATACGGTCAATCATATATGCCTTATCAGTAAGGTCAAACGATTAGGCATCAAACCACCATTAGTTGATTAGCTCACTTCATATCTAAAACATCGACATTTCAAGTTCAGGGTCACATTATTTTAGGATGTGGGGTCTCACAAGGCCCCTTACTTAGGCCTCCTTTTTTAGTTTACATGAACGATCTTCGACAGCAGGTATCGTCAGATTTATTACTTTTCGCTGATGTAAAACCTTGGAGAGAGATACGCAACCAGGAGGATAGACGGATACTTCAGGAAGATCTGAATCGACTTCAAAGTTGGGCAGACGACAACAGATTTACCTTTGATACTTTAAAGTGTAAAATAGTTCACCTGAAACGTTTCAAATAACAGCTACAAATTAGATCGATCCCGTCTAGAGGCATCCTCAGTTGAGAAAAATCTAGCAGTGTTGGCAGCCCACTATCTGATGTCGTGCGCTAGCTGCGACAAAAATGCCTTTCGAGCAAACTCTGCATCGGGAGCATTGAAGCTCATTTTTGACCTGTTTGACGGTAGAATTTTCCACATAATCTTCAACAGTTTTATTCGTCCGCACATAGAGTACGGAAGCATATTATTTCCTTCTTCACTTCAAAAGGATAAGAATATTCTGGAACGTATCCAACGGCGAGCGGTGAAATCAGTTCGGGGAATCAAACTGAAGCCTAATGAAGAGCGCCTTCAATCACTGAATCTATATCCATTAGAGTATAGACGTCTTAGAGGTGACCTAATGATTTACAGCATCCTAAACGCTTTGGGACATCCCCTTCAACACCTACTCGAGTTTAGTTTCAACAAAAACCTTAGGGGTAATACATAGAAATTGGAGACGCAACACAGCAGAACGGACTGTACACAGACATCCTACCCTTTAATAGTAGTCAAATGATGAAATTCGCCCCTGTCCGTGCTAGTCCAGGCGACATGGCAGGAGTCCTTTAAGAGAAAACTTGACACATTCTTGAGAACGAAGGATAATGTCTTCCTACGATTCACCATTTTTCCCTTTCCTCTCTTATCGAAAATATACCTATTCCGCTGCTACTAGATACTACCACACAACCCTTTGTGAGAACTAAGCTTCAGTGCTGAGTTCAGGCTGCAAGCCCCTGTTTAAAAGGTGACTCGGATATCTTAGAAAAAGCACAGAGGGCAGCTACTCGTGTAATTCCGGAACTCTGAGGTTTACCATACAAAGAGCAGCTTGAAAAGCTGGACCTCTTTACTCTGTCCTATCGCAGATTAATGAATGATCTAATTTTGATGTACAGAATACTGAGAAATGGTTTTGGACCTAACTTATCCTGTCGTTTTCTTCCCGTTAGATCTGGAAGTCTCAGAGGAAATACCAGTAGAAAAGCCAAGAACGAACAAAATACCCATGGGATACATGTTGTCTCGCCGAGTCATCAATACTTGGAACCTGTTACCCGAAGCGGTGGTGTCCGCACCTTCAATTGACTCTTCCAAGAGAAGACTGGACACTCTCAGAAGCATACTAGAAAAGGAATAAAATGGCCGTAGACCTTCTGTCCTAACTACACAAACCAGAATCTGAAATCAGAGAGAGAAGAATTTCAGGCGCACAGGCCTGCTTTAAGCACTCAAATTTGTTCAAAGATGCCGTCCGCTCCCGACACCCGTTTAAAGGCATCCGGAAGCATGCCGACAGGTCAATAAGACGAACTCGTCAACCCACCAGCACCCGTTTAACACAGACACGGCTGAAAGTCTGCACAGCCACTACACCGAGCTGAACACGTCCTGATATTAACCAAAACCGTGAACAAGCAGCGGCATGCGACAGCACAACCCAGACCCAACTACGAGCTTTCTAACTGCAGCAACTTTAATATACGCTTTTGAAGCTGGAGTTACCGCGGCTGCTGGCACCAGACTTTCCCTCCAATTGGTCCTCGTTAAAGGATTTAGATTGCACTCATTCGAATTACGGAGCCTCAACTGAGTCCCGTATTTGTATTTTTCGTCACTACCTCCCCGTGCCGGGAGTGAGTAATTTTCGCGCCTGCTGCCGTCCTTGGATGTGGTAGCCATTTCTCAGGCTCCCTCTCAGGTATTTAGATGATGAAATGTTTGGATTATCATACCCGATTTATGTGCGACCACATTTAGAATACGGGATTCAAGCAGCGAGTCCTTGTTTCAAATATGAAGCAGATATGCTAGAAAGAGTCCAACGACGAGCTACTAAGATGGTACAAGGTCTAGCTGGCCTATCTTATGAAGACAGACTGAGACACCTTAACTTATTTCCGTTATCTTACCGTAGAGTACGGGGTGATCTTATATTGGCTTATCGTATACTGAGCGATGACCTTGGTATTAACATGTCTTATCTTTTGCTTCCGTCTAGAACCGATCATTTGAGAGGACATTCGAAGAAAGTTCAAAAACCGAGATCAAACCATTTACGTCTGGAGTTCCGTTTCTCGCACCGAGTAGTGAATTACTGAAATTCTCTTGTAGCGTGGCGTCGAGTCGAAATTGACTATGAACACCGCTATCAAGAAACACGTGCCAAGTTAATCAGAAGGCGAAGGTTGAACGTAACCAAATAAATCCAGAAAATCTCCGAGAAGCCAAATATCAGAAGACAGTTAATGGACCAAATCGAGATGTATTCGCTGGCGATCTCGTGGCATCGAAAGGATACCGAGATCGTGCCAGAATACAAGCTTGGTTACAGAACGTAACCGAATTCGCGCGAAGTTACAATCAAAGCGTAAGTAAAAGAATGGAAGCACAGAATAGCTGTCATTAGCACAGTCAAACAAAAGCACGTTAAAACAAACACTGGTACAGTTGGTTATAATAATAATTGTTTTTATTAAACCAGTCGTGTTCTCGTGATAAATGTGAGTCACTACACTCTACCAGAACACGTAATATCAGCACCGTCTGTTAATATATTCAAAACGAGATTGGACCTCCACAGTATTACAAACTGCAAGGATTAATATAGGTCGACAGACCTCCTATCCTTATTACTGAAGACTGAGAGAGCGGTTACATCAGATCATCCGTTACGTTCTTGTGGCTATGGCGGTTGATGTTCATAAAGAGGTTTCGCCTGCAAAATTTATTGATAGAATAGGTACTGCATTTTCTGATTATGCTAAACGTAGTAGATATAAATAATGAAGACTACATTCGAGAATTATTAAGACCTCCAGATATCAAGGAGGATGTGAAACTAATGCAGGAACGTAGTCGCGTTTCACTCATCTTACGTTCTGCATATTTTCGGAAAGAATTGGAAAAGATCGTGGCATCATCATTAAAATCTGGGTGTCTTAACGCTAATGTTATCGCTCTGAAGCAAATAGTTGAGTATCTGACACCACAAACTCGACTAGGATCTTCTGCTTTCACAAGAGGTACGCCATTTTTTCTACAGTTTTGTGTTGCATGAAAAGTTAGTTTTACACGCAGCTCTTGTATGTACCGTATTTAGGTTATTTATTTTGGACCCTGATTGGATGTTATGTTTGATATGACTGGTAAGTTCCATTCAGTCTTAAGCCAAACTGTCACTGCTTAGTAACTCATAAACAAATACCTGACTTGATTGTTTAATATGACAAGCTTTTTACCTGGGACTAATGTGCCAATTAAGAGTGAATGTTTATGATTCAGGGGTTGATTTACTAAGTGTAAGAGGTAATGAGTTCTCGACTGACCCCAATTTCGCGAATAATTAACCCTGTCTTTATTTTCAGTGTTGTCATTCATGCATGTCTCTTCAAACCAAGAAATATCAAAATACCTAACAACTATAGAGTCACAGCAGGAAGTCGCAGTATTATCAGTCCCGATGAGCGCAACGTTTCTCGAGATCCTGCTTGCAAAACGGTATATGTTGGCTCTACTATCTCGATGAAATAAACTTCACGTTATCCTATTTCGTATACTGACCACCGTAGGGTTTTGTCTGAAATTTGTTAGGGCAAGCCTTCTAATCACTTGTTTAGTTATACACAAAGAGTGGCACATTTATCTGTCCAAGTTTCTATACCACAAGGCTAGCGCGATAAAATTATCATGTAGTAAAATTATCATCAGTAAGGAAGATTGGGTGTAGAAGATGCAATACAGAAGAAAGAAAGAAATCTGTGGATCCGAAGAGTCTAAGGTATTTTTAAAATTCAGGATGTAAGGGAATGTAAGGAATAACTGCATCTACGCCATTGTTATTAATCCTAAGCTATCTCACCCTTAGTTAAAAGACATAAATACGGTCTTAGTTGAAACTGATCACTTTAGACTTATAATTATCACAGACCTCGTAGAAATCATGACGGTGCATTAAGAGTATGAACTATTTGCTTTACCAACTACACTACTACAAAGATCAAAGTATAACCGTGGAAATAGTTGCGTTATCCAGTTAACATCGATTCCGACCGTTGCTGCTATCTTGACGTGGTAGTCAGGCTTGCCTATCGCAGTGAACCAGTTGAGCTATACTGGCTGGAACAATCGCTCCTCAAAGTCTCACCATACCAGACAAGTCGCGTGAAGACTGGTAAGAATGAAAGCATCAAACCCAAGCTCCGAGGGCGAAGTTGTACTGCTGATTGTACAAAGGTGTGGCTGCAGTAAGGTGTTTCCTTCAGACAACCAGCATAACAGCGATGCTACCTTCCCACAAAGGAAGGGTGGGGTTAGAAAACGTTGATGCCGGGAATGCACACCTCACCTTATCTCACGGATTTCCGTCTGCAGCGGGAAAGTCTCAAGTATGGAGCTAACACAAAATAGTCCTGTGTAACCGGCCTCAAGCAACTGTCCCTTGGGCACTGCGGTCACACTCTCAGGTCATTAAGACCAATTCTAACTCGATTTCGTTTTTCCAGAAGAACCCTCTAACGGTTTGGGCAAATCGTGATAGATAACTCCCCTCATACCCAGCCCTAATGGGTTAGTGTCTGACGAAATCTCAACACGGATTCGAAAAGCTCGCTTGGCTTTTGCCAACTTACGTCACCTACGACAAAGGTGAGATATCCGTCTATCAATTAAGAGACGAGTATACTGTGCAGCAGTTCGTTCTGTCCTACTTTAATTTGCGAAACGTGGCAATTAAGGTTGGGGGATCCTCGTAAGTTACTAGTATTTGACCAAAGATGCCTTAGCAATATTGCTGGCGTCTGCTGGGATCACCGGGTAAGTAATAGTGAGGTTAGACACAGGTTATTAGGGAATGATGATTAATCAGTTGATGAGGTTGTAAATCTTCGTCGACTGAGATTGTTGGGCCATGTGTTACATATGTCTGAACTCCGATTAGCACGACGCGCAATGCTGACTAGTGTTGAAGACGTATGGAAGAAAGTTAGGGCGTCCGATCCGAAACGTAGCATCAGTCCATAAGGTCACTAATTTCTGGTCTAAGCCATGCAGGTATATGCAGACTAGTTGGTTGGGGTCCGCGCGACTATCGCAACAAGTGGTTGGAGACTCTGTGTGACATGGCTCAGTATCGATTACAATGGCGTAAATGTATACGGTCTTTGTCTCCCTAAACTGTGAGATGAAAATCACTGTATACCTCTGTTTCCGCGAATTAATTCTTTCTTTCTGTATTATATCCGTATTCAAAATCTTTCTTTTATGTATTACTACTATTGAGGTAGATACTTCTGTGAATTTGGTGTTCATTCTGTTGTGCTAATGAGGTGTGGTAATGTGGACTGATGCATATGCGTGCTAGGTCCTAAGTTGTAGCTGACTGTCTAAGAGGTCTTTTTCTCCTAATTCACGAACTAGCTTTTTTAATCAATTTTTATTCATGAAATGTGGCTTATACTTTTTTACCTTAATTTTAATATTAGCTTGCCGACCAAGTAGCATGTATACTGCAAAGCAGTCCACTCTGTTCTACTGTATTAGTAAATCTATCGCGCGTTGTGAAATAACCGAGTAGACAATTTTGAGGTTAGGAATAGGATAATTGGCAAAGTTTTCAAATCGATTGATAAGGTGGTGAATCTTCAACTGAGGTAATGAGGATATGTGTTACGCATACCTATTCACTCCTTATCCCTTCACACGATGCTTTTTAGTGCTGGAGTAGGTTGGAAGAAAGGTAGGGGTTTAGTCTTTTTTCCTGTCACTGTTACTAGATTATTTTTATCCCTTGTTATTCTCATCTCGTCGTACTAACCAAGTATGACAGGTTCTATATTGATGATATATCTAACTCAGCAAATCACTTTTCGTCAGCAGTTCTTAATTTAAAATCAACCTTCAAAAGGGTTTAAGGATAGACACTAATGATTTGCAAATTTTCCTTCATAGGTTGTCACTCCCTTTGCCTCTGTTAGAAGTAAAAGAAAGTTTTCAACATCTCATACTGCAGTTGAATATTGAGTAACCGATAAATCAATTGTTTTATACATCATTGCCTGTTTATATACCTTTTCTCAACTCACTTTTCTTGACTTTGATCGCACAAGACGCTTTTGAAGCAGTTGCTTTAGTAAACAAAATTAGCTAGTCAGCCTCTGTTTTACCTCAGCGTCCTCATTTTTTTCAGGTATATTTTAAATCGTCACTAAATATTATCGTGTAGCATGAAAGTGCAAATGTTCGGTAGTAATAGTGTTTTATAGTTGATTAAATCGACTCACTGTTTGGGTTATATTTTATCTAACCTGACAGTTGTACACAAATTTGTTGGTTAGATTGTGGAACTGATATATATCAGAGGCATATAACTTGTCAAATCGGTGATCGGATTCCATTGTACTGTATGCCAACCTTTCAACCAGTAATAATTAGGTCGAATATATCTACGTATTTGAAATATTCCCATATTATAAATTTAGAACAACATATATAAGCGAACAATATTGTTTTCGATTAGATCCTCATCAGGCTTTACTCTAATATACAGTAATATTTATATGCATATACGAAATTATTAAACCAATCAAGGTAGTTTATAAGTCAATGATAACAATGGAAAAGATTACATAATAAGTAAAATGTGAAAAGTACAAATTGATGGTGTGACAACAGGTGCATTAGTTTTTGATAAGCAATAATAATAAAGGTTCAAATCAATGTTACATAATCTGAAATAGGTCAATGATTAGAAAAATATAGAAACTGAGATAACAATTATAAAATTATAAGATGACGTAATAAGAAATGTTCAGATAATTGGACCATGAAACGTATAGTTGAGAGAAAATAAAGTGGTAGGAGGGTGTGAAGAAAAATAATAAACGAAGAGAAAGTTAGAAAAGGAATAAATAAATTCATTTATTACTTAAGGCCAAGGGAGAGATAAGGGAGTTACAAATTTCTTCTGAACACAAAGACTTGGCTTGTTGGCTCGGATTCCTATAGCTTCTGCTATGTGTAAGAGACGAGATCGAACACCATAAGGAAAACTAGTGGGAATCCGGTAAATAACTTTGAACGACTTGTTTCTGTCCACTACATGACCGCTATCGATCAAGTGTGATAGAACCGAGCTGCGTATTGTTTTGACGTAACCTTTTCCTAACCACGAAGGGAGGTGTTCACTAACTCGTTGGTTCAGTTGCCTGGTAGTGCGCCCAATATAGCTTTCTCCACAGGAGCAGCTGAATTCGTAGATACACATAGAAGTGGCATAACCAGGTAACTTATCCTTCAATTGCGGAATCACCATCGATCGGGTCGAATACGATAGGCAGAGGTTGGCAGCATTAAACGTTCTCTTTACTGCTCTAGTCAATCTATCCCGTAATACATCGCTAGCCAAATCACCATTGAATTGCAGTTTCAAGAAAAGCGGTTTCTTATTAGCCGTCAGGGTCACTATTTTCCTGTTTTTTACGCGCAAGTGTTTCTTCAGGAAACCCAGTGGATATCCCAATTCAATCAAAATATTATGAATGTGTTGTAATTCTCTATCAATAGTGTCGACTGAGCATATCTTAAGAGCTCTATTTGCAAGACATTTGACTAAGTTTCTCTTATAATGAAGAGGCACAAAGCTTAAAAAATGTGTGTATTGGCTTGGCGAAGAACTTTTTCTATACACACCCCTGCTGATAGAACCATTTTCTTTTCTACTTAACAAAACGTCCAGAAAATTTAGTTTGTTATCTATTTCCTCCTCACATGTAAATTTAATAGCAGGATGTTTGTTATTAAATAGTTCCAGTAGTTGTTCTTTTCTAATGTTCTGATCGGCAATGATGAAGGTATCATCAACGTAACGACAGTAGAAATCCAGTTTATTGATAACCTCCTTGAGAGGTCCGTTTTCTAGTTTCGCCAGAAAAAAATCCGCAAGGATGGGACCTAGTGGCGAACCCATCGCTATACCATCAATTTGTCTATAATATGTGTTATTAAAGACAAAATGGACATTCATTGTGCATTTTAAAAGTAATTCTTTAAGACTAACCCCAGGAATTCCAATATTGATTTGTTTTTCCTGCAGTTGTTGGCACACAAAATCGATAGTCTCTGTTAACGGTACATTGGTGAACAGGGAAGCAACATCTAAAGATATCATTCGTTTCCCATTTAAATTTATATGTTCCACTTTAGATATGAAATCGAAGACGTCTTTCACGCTTCTATTGACGACTAGTTTGTGTAAGGGGTTTAGGATACGAACTAGCCACTTTGCAGTTTTATGATAAGGTGAATTATACATATCTAAAACTGGGCGAAGAGGAAGACCTGTCTTGTGAACTTTAGGTAAACCATATAGTCGCGGTGTGTTCGATCCAGTAGGCTTGAGTGAGTCATGTAAGTCAGGAGTAAGAATACCTTTATTTTTTAATTCCTTCAGTGAGATAGTCAGCAATTTTTCTGCCTTCATATTTAAGTCCTTAACGTCGTTGAGTTTCTGAAATTTTGTCGGATCATTCAAAATCACGTTCATTTTATGAATGTAATCAGCTTTGTTCATAAGAACTAGCCCCCCTCCTTTGTCCGGCTTGCTTATGATTAGAGTATTGTCGTTTCTAAGTACATGTAAAGCATCTCGGTGCTGTTTGGTAAGTGGAGTTTTTATGGATTATAATAACATGGTGGCAAAAGGTAGATCAGAAAAACTGGGAACAAAACTAATTCAGTCACTGGAACCTCATAAACCTGAAAGAAAATTTCCTATGGACCCTGAGCGGTACGTTCATAATTTCTCTAGTGTTACGTTAGACGCATTGCAAGTAGAGGCATTGTCACTCGGCCCTAGGTTTTGCGACTATATAATAAAATAAACCAACTAGATACAGATGTACAGTTTGAAAATTTATTTACACAAACAACAGATTTGGTGCCTACTTCTCCTGATGAATTAACCAGGTTTAAGACCACGTTGGTAGACATCTGCCAACAATACAAAAATAGTAAATGTACGGTGAAAACTCCACTTACCAAACAGCACCGAGATGCTTTACATGTACTTAGAAACGACAATACTCTAATCATAAGCAAGCCGGACAAAGGAGGGGGGCTAGTTCTTATGAACAAAGCTGATTACATTCATAAAATGAACGTGATTTTGAATGATCCGACAAAATTTCAGAAACTCAACGACGTTAAGGACTTAAATATGAAGGCAGAAAAATTGCTGACTATCTCACTGAAGGAATTAAAAAATAAAGGTATTCTTACTCCTGACTTACATGACTCACTCAAGCCTACTGGATCGAACACACCGCGACTATATGGTTTACCTAAAGTTCACAAGACAGGTCTTCCTCTTCGCCCAGTTTTAGATATGTATAATTCACCTTATCATAAAACTGCAAAGTGGCTAGTTCGTATCCTAAACCCCTTACACAAACTAGTCGTCAATAGAAGCGTGAAAGACGTCTTCGATTTCATATCTAAAGTGGAACATATAAATTTAAATGGGAAACGAATGATATCTTTAGATGTTGCTTCCCTGTTCACCAATGTACCGTTAACAGAGACTATCGATTTTGTGTGCCAACAACTGCAGGAAAAACAAATCAATATTGGAATTCCTGGGGTTAGTCTTAAAGAATTACTTTTAAAATGCACAATGAATGTCCATTTTGTCTTTAATAACACATATTATAGACAAATTGATGGTATAGCGATGGGTTCGCCACTAGGTCCCATCCTTGCGGATTTTTTTCTTGCGAAACTAGAAAACGGACCTCTCAAGGAGGTTATCAATAAACTGGATTTCTACTGTCGTTACGTTGATGATACCTTCATCATTGCCGATCAGAACATTAGAAAAGAACAACTACTGGAACTATTTAATAACAAACATCCTGCTATTAAATTTACATGTGAGGAGGAAATAGATAACAAACTAAATTTTCTGGACGTTTTGTTAAGTAGAAAAGAAAATGGTTCTATCAGCAGGGGTGTGTATAGAAAAAGTTCTTCGCCAAGCCAATACACACATTTTTTAAGCTTTGTGCCTCTTCATTATAAGAGAAACTTAGTCAAATGTCTTGCAAATAGAGCTCTTAAGATATGCTCAGTCGACACTATTGATAGAGAATTACAACACATTCATAATATTTTGATTGAATTGGGATATCCACTGGGTTTCCTGAAGAAACACTTGCGCGTAAAAAACAGGAAAATAGTGACCCTGACGGCTAATAAGAAACCGCTTTTCTTGAAACTGCAATTCAATGGTGATTTGGCTAGCGATGTATTACGGGATAGATTGACTAGAGCAGTAAAGAGAACGTTTAATGCTGCCAACCTCTGCCTATCGTATTCGACCCGATCGATGGTGATTCCGCAATTGAAGGATAAGTTACCTGGTTATGCCACTTCTATGTGTATCTACGAATTCAGCTGCTCCTGTGGAGAAAGCTATATTGGGCGCACTACCAGGCAACTGAACCAACGAGTTAGTGAACACCTCCCTTCGTGGTTAGGAAAAGGTTACGTCAAAACAATACGCAGCTCGGTTCTATCACACTTGATCGATAGCGGTCATGTAGTGGACAGAAACAAGTCGTTCAAAGTTATTTACCGGATTCCCACTAGTTTTCCTTATGGTGTTCGATCTCGTCTCTTACACATAGCAGAAGCTATAGGAATCCGAGCCAACAAGCCAAGTCTTTGTGTTCAGAAGAAATTTGTAACTCCCTTATCTCTCCCTTGGCCTTAAGTAATAAATGAATTTATTTATTCCTTTTCTAACTTTCTCTTCGTTTATTATTTTTCTTCACACCCTCCTACCACTTTATTTTCTCTCAACTATACGTTTCATGGTCCAATTATCTGAACATTTCTTATTACGTCATCTTATAATTTTATAATTGTTATCTCAGTTTCTATATTTTTCTAATCATTGACCTATTTCAGATTATGTAACATTGATTTGAACCTTTATTATTATTGCTTATCAAAAACTAATGCACCTGTTGTCACACCATCAATTTGTACTTTTCACATTTTACTTATTATGTAATCTTTTCCATTGTTATCATTGACTTATAAACTACCTTGATTGGTTTAATAATTTCGTATATGCATATAAATATTACTGTATATTAGAGTGAAGCCTGATGAGGATCTAATCGGAAACAATATTGTTCGCTTATATATATGTTGTTCCAAATATCCACGTATACTATACAGCGCCTTTGTTCTCATTCATCCAATCAGGTTCAAGTATAATCACATAATAAGCCCAATATACTCTACATTATCAAATGAGACTGAAAGTATGTCTTCTGTAATTGTGACTTTAAACAACACAGATGCAAAGTTATCGGTTGGCGAATAATGTCAGTGGTTGCATTGAGTGTTGATCATTTTGTGATATTTATTGTCATCAAAGACAAAAATACGTTTCTGGATTAGGTACTATTAAGACTCTTCTTTAGATAATGGAGCATCCTTCATACCTAAAATTTTAACATTCCTCAAGTCGGTCACTTTAAATATCAAGTGAATGTTAAATCCTTCAATCCAACATGCTCCTTCATAACAAATTTGGGTTTCTATAACGATACTATATGTTCTGAATAACTGACTACAGTAAGTGACATCAGTATGTTGTGAAATTATTGTTAATGCCCTTGGCTCTCAATCACTGAGTTACTTAGTCATCTCACTTAATTTGGGGATTCTAATTGTACTATGATTTACCAAGTACATATAATTGTAATTGTGAGGAATGACAGCACTGTTTGGCTGTCTGAACTGAAGTAATTGAGTTGGAGTTTGGACCTACTGTCTATTGTTAAAGGTCGCCTGCTGTAAATACTCGGCCACTGTGTCTAAAATCGGAGTACTTGATGAATGAGTCACGTTTTCTTTTGTAGTGCGCAAGTATCCATTACCTTTAAAGCTGTGTTTTATTTTCAATTCTTGCAAAAGTTCTTTATGGTTGGTCAACCCATTAATCGAACTTTTACGTCCTCCACGAAGCGCTTATAGTATGTTTCGAAATCAGTTATAGTTACACAAATGTACCCATTTTATGTCCATCCAAACTAAAATGTAAATACTAGGGAGTAAAAATTGTGGCCTAGGGATTTGACGTATTCTCTATGCCAAGTAAAGTGGCTTCAGTCGAATCTTCACTTTTATTTAGTCAGTCAAATAATTACCTTATTGTTATGGTAAGTGAACACCGGTTAGAAAATACTCACAAGAGAAATAGTCTCCCCTTAGGTAATATACGATATTTGTTTGTGACAACTCAGCAAATGAGCTAGCATTATGAACAACCCTCTTCTTATAATTTTTTTCAACTATTGCGAGTTTAATTTTTTTTTAAAAACGTAGTGAAACTATAGATCAACAGTAGAGTAAATCATTTTAAAAGGTCAGCGTCAATTGTGAACTACTCGAACCAAGTTTTAGGTGGACTTATAGTAAGCAAATAATCATTCGGAAAATGTCTTTTGCGCCTGAGATGGTTATGTTGTAAGTAAAAATCAGTTACTAAGCTGCTTTTTTAACATCCAACCAAATACTGAATTACATCGTTTATCTTTATTTTAATTGTTTTACGGAGGACTGTACACTTAGAAATCGTAACTATCGTATTCTATAAAAGTTGGCCATATTGATAAAGAGATAGTAGCTCTTTCATCTAAAACGGTGAAAATAAGACTTACTGATACAATATTTGGTATATTATTTTTGATAGGTTATTATTTTTATGGATGTATTTTGGGCATTACATTGTAACAAACTATTTTGTTTCATTTATTATCTTTATTAATCTTCAGGTGCCACTGTCCCTGTAGTACCAATTAATGATTTACGCACTGTTCAACTTGGCAGTTACGTTAAAGGGGAACGCCTTATACGATGTAAATTGGCTTCTGTCTACCGATTAGTTGACATCTTTGGTTGGAATACAGGGATCAATAATCATATTACGGTCAGTTATATTACTTGTCATGATCTCCCTTGTATTGCGAACATTGTATGTTTGTGTAAATGTCTGTATTGAGACGAGACGGAATTTAGTCAAAGTCACTACCTCTGGCAGTTGCCGTCCTATGTACTGTAGCAATATAAGCTTTCCATATGCCATCAATTCAACAATTTTTAAAACAGTTCTTTAGGAACTTAAGTGTAGACACAATTATGTAAACGATTTCGTAGACAATAATCGGTTACAATATTAGTTTCGAAGGACTTTGATGATGTGAAGTATTAGTAGGTATGTTTATGGTCAATCAATTTCTCATCAATAGATCTTTCTTTTAAAAATTAATTTGCTTGCCAAAATATCACCGCTTGTAAAGTAATTATGGTTTTAGAAACTAACGGTTGAGTTGAATTTCTGCCTTCGTAGTGGAATTCCTGTTTATTCTTCCATTCCGTAGCAAAAGCGGTTGAGAAATATGAATATGTCGTTTTGTGTTCTCGACACTAGATTTCCATTTACCGTGTCTCTGACCCAATTACCCACCAATATTCTAATAGACTGATATTGTCACAAATCCTCACAATTATTGTGGCTCATTTCACATACCATAAATTTGTATTTGTTGAGTCGCGCGGCTTTTTTCATTTTAAACATGCCAGTTAATAGTGGCAAGCTACAATCTTTAGTCTGTCAGTGTACGCTACTTCCGTGACTTTTGATAGATAGTGAAAAAATTGTACATAAAGTGGCTGTGAAAGCTGAACATAAAGCAGTTTATTGGATGGACATTTAAACTGTACTTTAGGCCTTGGATGATGTCGCAAACTAGTTTTAATACTACTATATTTTATAAATTGAATAGTTCTGAGATGATATCAAGCTATCTAAAGTTGACATCGAAGATACCTATCGCAAAACATTTGGTCGTTTTGTTATTTGACTATCGAACGCTTCTTTTTGCTGATGTTTGTATCCATTGTAATTTTACGAGATGCTTTATTGGGTGTCACCCATACTTTGTATCATCTGATTTCCTTATCAATCACTATTCAATTTCTTGACAGGAACATATTACTACTAGTGATGCTAACCGTAAGATACGTGCAGGTTTGTTTATTAAGCGACTAGATATTGTATGATAATTGTCTTCAATTTATTATATGGTAGTGAGAGCCACTTGTCAGATGATATCTAATGTGTCTAGAATGATTGAATTAGTTTGAATAACGTCGTATCTGAAATGTTAATATACATAACCATCTGATGTTTATTCGGAGCTGGTTTTAGACTTGGGCATATAAATTAAATATATTCACTTTTCCAGTTTCGGAATGTAAGGATACTTACCGACACTTGAGTTTAGTTTTTTTTATTTATTTGCTTTCGACTTTGTTGATAAGTCAGTTTAATATCGGTATTTGTCTCTAAAAGGTCTACCAGGGAAGTACATAAGCCTTTTGAGTACTATCTACTCTAATATTTTAGATTAAACCAAGGCTTATGGAGAAATGTCTGAGCTGGCTGTCTACGTTAAGTGGCGTATGTCAAGGTTGCCCATTATCTCACTTTTTAAAAATTTCATCGTACATGTCCTCGAAATCATACGCTGTAAAATATGACTCACTGTAGACAATGTAAAATACGACTCAAGAAGCTAAACCATAATAGATTTAGTACTATTGTCTTGTATCTGTTGTAAATAGATATGAGAGTTAAGCGACTTCGTCAATGACTTTAAAATATTTATTGAAGTATCATTAACGATTAATATTATGTATATTACGAAGGAATATATGAGTTGTGTTTTCATTTAATCTGTTTAGTTATTGGTAGTTGTTCGAGTAATCTGAATAATCACCTACCAGTCTCCATTGTTTTCTAAGTGAAATATTTATAAACCAAGTTAATAAATGGATTTGATTAGTTTTTTTTTCTATAAGATGTAAATATCTGATTTCATTAAGTTGTCACTCTAAACTTTTATTCTAGGCTCGGGTTTCTCGAGATGCTGACGAATATCTGATCAATCCCATTGGTTTACTGTACAACGAACTAACCGCCTCTTCTCTCGTAAAAATTAACCTTGAAGGTAAATGATATTAATGAATTTTAGACTGATCATTAAACTACTAACAATTTTAAAGTCATTTTCCTACCGTATACTGTGATTCGTTTTACTTAGCCCTTTCAAATATATTTGTGTTTTATATTCTACCTGATTTAAATATGTATTCAGGAGTTATCGTAGGTAATTATGATCAGTAAGTAAGAAACAAACGGAAAGATGCTGCTAGGCTAAGGTGTTAGGTTGAATAGTTAGTTTGTGAGAAAATCTATAAATACTGGAGAAAATTAGCGTTGGTTTCGTTTTCAAAGCAGGTGTCTCTAGTTATGGACTATGAGAGTTATTGACGACTAATATGTAGAAATATTTTATCAGAATTTTACTCCGCCCAAACCATTTCCCTTGTTTTTACAAAAGTTGTGGGGTTTTAATGTCAAAGGTTCATATTCCTCTCGGTTGATTTATAACAGTTTACCGATCGGCACAAACTTATATATCATAAATTATACCTATAATTTTTCAACTTCATCTGTTCTTTTTTATGTTTGGTTCATTACTACTACTCTTCAACTTTTTTGGACTTAATCTCATTAATTTTCCCTCTCCGCTGATATGAAGTGTAGCAAGTTGTACAAACAAGAAACTGTTCTATATCTTAAACTGTTGACGGCTAGACAGATTTGGAACTATTCTTACTGCTGTTTACAAACTTAAATTATGCGTGCATCTAGTAAATTTGATTATGTTATAAACTTGAATATGTTATTAATAATATTATGACGTATATATTCACAAATGTGCTTGGTCTGTTAATTTCAAGTATTGATTACCTCGCATAATTATATATATATATTAATATATATATATATATATATATATATATCGTAATTCAGTAAAATTAGGTCATTTTCAATTGTTTTTAAATCTGCAAGCTATTTAGCGAACGCAATGTCTTGTTATGTACATATAGTAAGTTCACTTATTCCTTGATTTTATTCGTATTTTTTTATTTGTATCAATAATGTACGCTTCTTATATAGTAATAATTTTGACCTCATCTGAAACATCGGTCGGCCAGTCAGCTGCAACGTAGCTGAAACATGGATGTGATTGTGTTGGCCTTTAGTCAAATTAAAAACAACGGCAGGTTTATTTATATGTTGAAAGGAAACATCTACACATTTACACAGAATTCGGTAAAGCTCGTTTGTTAGTTCCCCGTCCTAAAACAGTATTTTTTTAAAATGAGCTACGATATCTCCAGTAGATATGGTTATGTATGGTCGGATTCAAATTGATGATCCATAAACACAGCGACTAACTGCTCCGTATTCTTCTCTGAAACCAAACCCCTAGCAATTCAGAGATTGTGTAGTCATTCTTCTGAAGTCTGGAACTATGGAACGTTTATATTACAGATATGTTTTGTAACTGCTATGTTTGAAGAGATTACGGTATCACCTGAACCGGCGAGCGGAACGAAGATCAGCAACACAACAACAGGACAGGGTAAACTGTTCCACTACACTCCAGCGCAGCTAACTAGAGAGAGAAAACCAGATTCAGCCGAGAGGAAATGTACATGTATTCCACAAGCAACTCAGAGGCACGAACGAACAAACAAACAATACATGCGTATATATATATAGCACAAAAATGTCCCTGGAAAACGTCACAGAATAGCGTACTGAAAAACAAAACGAAATGAAATAAAATTACAAAAAATTAGACGTTTACCAAGTGATTTCTGGGGATCTAGCATCACCAACACCGCTTTTTAATAGCGTATATTCTTAGTGTTCACCTGCATATTTGACCGTTTGTCACTGTTGTCGTAGTGACTACTTTCTGGAACGTAGATCGGTTTTTGTTGTACTTCTTGCGTAGGGACTGCTGGTGGGTTGAAGGTATTCAGCAAAACTTCGAGCCGGAGACTTCTGTTTCTTTATGTGTGATTTGGGGCAAACTGTCTCCTTAGCTGATTCCAGTGTCGAGTCTACCCGTCTCTTCCCATCTCTACTTCATACATGACTTGGCCTAGCCTTTCGACCACATGTGCTTCAATTCAAAGGTCATAGTTTAGTCTATAATCTTAGGCGAACACCGGACATCCATCCCTGTACGTTAGCAGCTCCTGCGACTTAGTTTTGAGTAGTGGTGGTCGTGTGGTTCTCAGAAGCATCAGGTTTTGGACCATCCTCAGTCTTCATATGAAGATCTCTGCTCTGAACTTCTGTTCTGATAACGTATCATTTGGTGTCGTTCGATAAACAAATAAGAAATCCTGTAGTAATTCGACTGGCATCCCCTCACTTTTTGACTTGAGTAGGGTCTTCTTAAACGTGTCCACAAGCCTTTCTGCTTGGCCATTTGACTGTAAATGGTAAGGGGGAGAGCGGAACTGATTGATGGCTAGCCGTTGGTAGAATTATTTGAACTGGCTGGAAGTGAACTGCGAACCGTTATCCGATGCAATTAAATCCATTCTCCGTCAAGAGCTGTTGAGTTCTAGTCGTCGTTGGTGACACGATGGGGAGGATTTCTTGCCTTTTCAGAAACGCATCAACTACAACTAAATAAGTAGTCCCGTTGATTGGGCCAGCGAAGTCGACATGTATCGTGCACCAAGGTTATTCAGACTGTGGCCATGAAATTGGCGGCACTTTAGCGTTAAATTTCGCCTCTTGTTAACACTGGTAACATTCCGCATTGTCTTCTGTCGAAAGTGAGGCGATAACCTTGTCTCCTACCGTAGTGTTCACTGACAAGTGACAAAGAGTCTGTCTAACAGAAATGTTGGGTGGGTGGACAGCAAATGTTGAGGTCGAAACTCAATAGTACTAAGGCCCAACGCTGGAGACGATTTGCAGAATGGAATGGAATAACAGATTTTGAACCGAAAATCATAAGAAGAGGCTTGTGGTCTGTTAGAAGAGTAAATCTTTGACCGTATAAGAACTTATGGAAACGATGAACCGCAAAGACAGGGGCCAATGCCTCTTTCCCTACTTGGCTGTTCTTCATTTCTGCCGGAGTTAATGTTCTTGTTGCATGCATTTTAGCTTTTTCTGTCCCGCCCGGAAATTGATGTGAGACGACGGCACCAAGTCCAAAAGCTGAAGCAACCCAGCCTCAATGATTGGCATGGACGATTATACTGAAACAACCGACGATGGATATTAACGGTTAGCTGCTCTCTCGATTATTCAGCAACTTCCGCCTGTAAATAAACATCAGCATGGTCCAACTTTGCGAACTTCCCACCATTCAGTATAATATTTTCAAAAGGTCACTGGGTTATAGTCCATCTGCATTCCGCATGACTAATGATAACTTGAAGTATTTTGTTTTTCCTTTGCAACTAAGATATTTTTAGGTATTCTTTTATTTATTGTTTATAAGCTTTACGGTTCTGTCTGAATAAATTATGCCTGAATATAATTTTTTTCACATCTCTTTTAAAAGGACAAAATTGAGTTAAACCTAGTTATGTCCTATGTACCATACAGGAAGTGTTGTCATCAATGTAGTCATGCTTTCAGATATATGTTCCTATTTTGGATATTTTACAGTAACACCATGTCATGTGTAGCTGTTCTAAGTTTGTTGCAATAACCCATGTTTTCACATGATTAGTTATACACTTACCTTTACTAATGATAGTTAAAGGGGAGAAGAATATTCAATGGTCATCTAAGATAAGTCAAAGTTTGCTTAGTAGCTAATGTTTAAATATTTTTTTCACTTTAGGATCTATTTTGGTTCAAGGATCTGTTGATCTAGGCATCGATAGGCAGAGTTGGATGTTGCATGCAGCTGTTCACAGTGCCAGACCAGATGTCAGATGTATTATTCATCTAAGTACTTCAGCTGCAGTAGCAGTAAGTTTATTTTTGTTCAACAGTTACAAACACTTCACATTTTTATTTCTACATTACTGTCAACCTTCTAGGAAGTCGAGGTACTTCTTAGCAATCAGTTTAGCAATGGTATATTATGTGAATTCTTTTTTTATAAGAATGGGAATTTCGAATCCGTTAGGTTCCCATGGTAACATAAATTACTACAAAGCGAACACGAAAACTACTACTGTTAGCAAAATATTTACAAACTTAAGTTGTCGGGGTGTTAGATGTTTGCTGTGCAGTCGGTTTTTCTTGTCATCAGTTATTTGTGCTACTAGTAGTAACTTTTCTTAGACCAAAAAATGCTAGATTCAATTCTATTCTCTTTTCCTATATACATAGGTAAACTGATTCTTGGTAATCGGGTTTATGGACAGGGTTGTACTAGATCATCATGTTTTTTTATTTGGGGTTCGGTAATAAAATTTTAAATTATGTATGTTAATTAGCGATATTTATTGTGTAATTGTCAAGGAAAGGTTCTGAAACTATAATTGTTGGTCGAACTAAAATTATTTTATTGAAATCATGAACCGATGCAGGTTAAACCACCACTGACAACCTGTAACGACTATTTCATCCTAGTATAGAACTCAGTTGTGAACGCCTAACCACTGAAACGCAACCGTGGATGCGCACTATTGAGTAGTCCTATACTAGGACGAAATGGTCGTCCAGTGTTTCCAGGTTTTCAATGTTTGTGTAACCTAGGTGGGTTCATGATTTTAATGAAATCCAAAATTCTCTGCAACTCCATACTAAAAATCATTTAATCTAAAATACATGAAGTTTCGTACATTTAAATCCGTTCATGATATTCACTTAAATTTGATTGGGTTTTGATTTATATAATCTAACTTACCGAAATTGCACCCAAGAGTATTTTACAATAATTTTCTAAATTTATTTTAATTACACATTATTCTGCTGTCGCGTTTTTTATGTCCTCAGGCAGTTAGTAATGAGCAATGTTGGACCTTGGACAAATATTGGTTCAAGCTGCCACATCACAGCATAACAAGATAGCAGTAATAGTCGTATTCATATTATTAATAGTCATCAAGATTAGAAATATGGTTCAATAAAAACGAATGAAAGTATTAAGTAATATTGAAAGTGATATAATGATCTAGGGCTAGTGAAAAATCAGGTACATTTACACCGCTGACTGATCTTGATCCAACCAGTGATCACGATTATAGTGATTAGGTTAACTAATATTTATCTGAAATCTGGGAGTTGGACGTAATCCCATCTGACTGGTCACAATCACTGATTGTCCCAATATATAAGAAGGGATCAAAGTCATCTTGTGATAACCATAAAAGGGTTAGTTTGACTAACATAGCATCTAAAATACTGGCCTAAATAAAACTTGTGAACTGCAAACACGAGAAAATCAGGCGTGCTTCAGACCTGGTCGTGGGTGCATCGACCACATATTCACCATTCATCAGGTTCTAGAACATAGGCATACTTATCGGCATCCGATAATGGTGGTCTTTCTTGATATAAAAGCGGAATTTGATTCTGTAGACATCAAGATTCTGTGGCAGTGTCTGTCATTGAAAGGCTTACCTCAGAAGTACATAAACCTTGTGAAGGCTCTTTGCTCGAACGTTACTAGTTGAGTCAGAGCTGATGGCGAACTGTCATCTGACTTCGCAACCTCAAGTGGTGTTCGGCATGACTGTTCGTTATCCCCATTTCTGTTTAACTCCATCATAGACCTACTGCTGGAAAAAACGTTCTCGTCGACTGAAATTTCAGTAATTGATCTCTTACCAGGAGGTCCACTTATCGACTTTGAACACGCAGATGACAGTCCTGTGCCCAACCACTTCACTCCCTATCATTAGTTTAGTCATTGAAATGGAGCAATCTTGCAACAACATTTTATTTTTAGAAGAGGGTGAAACTCATCCCAAACATGTTTACGTTGTTACTCAAGGCATTTTAAATGCTCTTCTGACCTTTTTTACTATCATGGTCGATATATATATATATATATATATATATATATATATATATATATATATATATATATATCCCCCAAATGCCCTGTTATGGCCGAGGGTGGGGAGAGTTAGCTCTCCCTCTCGAAATGCTCTCACATGGCCACGCTTATACAGCCACTGACAAGGATGTTCTACTCATTGTCTTCTCGCGGTGGTGGTGTTGTTTAAGAAGTTGAGAAGACGAAAAGCGAATGTCCGGAGCTTTAACCGGGTTGGTGGAGACGGAGAGTCTACCTAGGGGAGTTGGAAAACCCTGATTTCAAACCAATGATGCACATGGGCTCCAGTTCTTTATAAGAACTAATTCTTTCTTTCTGTACTATGTCCTCACATGCAATCTTTATATATTACCACCATTGACCTAACCACTCCTACGAATCCGGTGTTCATCTTGCTGTGCTAATGCTGTATGGCAACTTGGACCGATGCACATATATGCATTGCTCTACGTTGTAGCTGACTGAATGACTGATGGGCTCCAGTATTCTGAAGGAACAAATGGCTTATGAACTGATTGTTGGTCACTGGCTACCATGGGACCGCATCTCCTGACGTTGCTCCACTGTCTTCTGTATCACACCTTTAGGTTGAAGGCTCCGGGTGTGGCCTCCTGAAACAACCACCTGCTTCAGTTCGGGCACCCGGGCAGTATCCCAGTCCTCACACAAATTGAATGATTTATGTGGCGCATATCTGTTTGGTGCCTCCTTTGTACTAATATTTATGTGTTCGAATAAATAGATGTTTATATAAAACAGCTCGCATATTTTGCCAAGATATTCTGTGATTTTGTATTAAAATACATTGGTTGTCCCCACCTGTTTTCGTTCACTACACTAATACTACTTCTACAAATAACAATAACTAAAAATAGTGGAAATGATGGTAATGACTACTACCACTATTGGTAACGATCGTAATAACAGTAATAATAATAATTTTTTCAATTGTGAGATTCCTCCGGTTGCGGCTGTTTATATAAATAATTTATGAATTCTGTTCAGGAAACATTTTCTTTATATAATTGTTTATTGCGTGAATAAAATTTATGGTATAACGATTGAGATTTTACACTCAATTTTTTCAGGTATCATGTACAAATGCAGGTCTTTTACCAATCAGTCAAGAAGCCATGATTTTGGGTGAGACAGCTGTTTACGACCCGTTAATTGTTTTGAATAATCTTCAGCGAAATGGTGAAGAAGACTTAGACTCTCGTAAAGAGCGTCATTTTGATGCACAGAAAGCAGAAATATCCCGGATATTTTCGGAAAAATCTCCCAGTTGTATGGTTTTATTGGTTCGTAGTTATGGTCTCTTAGCTTTGGGACAATCGATTGAGGAAGCATGGTTTATTGCTTTTACATCCATGTTAGCGTGTGAAGCACAGGTCGGTTTGAAATAATATTGGGGGATTGTTAGAATCTCATCGCTTACTCTTTAGTATTTATCAACTTTTTTTGAAGTATTTATTCACACTTAGATTATATTTTAAAGTGATTTTTGTTCTACTGTTTATTATTCTTTCGATTATTTGGAATTATATAACCACATTACTCCACGAGTTACGGTACCCTTTTAATTCCTGCTTTTTTACTGATTTATAGAGATTTTTTGTGGTGTATTGTTCAATGTCATGATATTTTCTTTATGTTTGCACTGTTTGATGTATGCGTCTTTGTTGTTATAGTTACGTTTGGCGAGCATCAGTTTGGATGAATTGGTTATCCCTACCAAAGAAGCTCAAGAAGCCGCTTACTCCGTAGGACGTACTCCCTCTGCTGTTCAGTTGCGAGTTGGCGAAGTCACTGGTAGTTCAGGTTGGAGGCGTGGAGAACTTGAATTCGAGGCATTAATGCGTAGATTAGACTCTGCTGGATACCATACGGGTTATGTTTACCGACTAAGTCAAGTACGCCAGGGTTCAACTGCGGCATCAACTCTCCAACGTCCGTCAGCAGATTTGCTGGATAATGCCTCCACTCAAAAATCTCGTGATGCCGCAGCCCATGTTCGTCGTGCAGCTAGTCTTGGTCGTGGTCTTCGTGGCCTCAAAGATGTAGAGATACCGCCTACAGTTTCATCTTTTGCAACTTCATACTACGGGGATGAGGAAAGTAGGTAAGTAGGAGACAGTACTTATTTTCTTCTATATTGTTTGTTAGCCATATCACCATAAAGATTTGTTGAATTCTTGTTTCAGAGCTACTGCTATTGCTGAAATGAAAGCCAAAACACTCTCACTTTCACGTGCACATTGGCTGAGTACACCAAATGCGTACCTTCGGGAAGAGATTGAAGAAGTGGGTACTCCGAATCCTAAAAAGATAACCCACTGGACAGAGGGGTCAGATATCAATAAAACACGCACCGGTGGAGTAGCTGTCCCGCTGATTGATCCCAATCAATTTGCATTGCAGGGTTCGGATCCACAGGAGTTTAAAAATCAACAGAAGAAGGTAATATTTCAAGTTAAAAAGCATTGACAGGTTTATATACATATATTGTTCGGGAGCACTCAAAACAAGGTCATCTTGATTGCTGTTAGATGTTATAAGAGCGATGTCCAGCTCCTGTTTACTCTACTGTTAAAGGATGTTCCTTCTTAAGGGACTCGAATAGGAAACTGAACTGAAGATGATCATAGGGGTTCGAAAACGTGACCTCAGAGCGTAAGCGCCAATCTCTTGATTCCGGTCACACGACCAGTTACTGTTTGATGTTTTAGCTCCTTTTATTTTCAGGCCTTACTACCGGCATTGTGAATTACTGATCCCATGTAGGTTATGCAGTTTTTAGCCACGATATTTTCTAACCTCTCCCGTTGTGAAGAAAGAGGATCACTCCTAGTGGTCTAGTGAAAACACCTTATTGTCTTGTCTTTTCACCACAGTACAGTCGTCAGTACAACTGTACCTTCGGACCTGAAGTTTTCTCCTTTTTATTATACCGCTCTTTAACCAACTTGCTTGTATTGGTAGGACATAAAAAAGCGAGTATTTCAACCGATGTAGATCGATTGATTAATCACTAGGTGAACTCAACCACCACATCAAAATAGTAGTTACATTCTGGTCAGAAAGCCCTGAATATTCATGAAGTGAGACAAATTTAGTGGTTTAAATATGCTGTATTTGATGTGCATTGCCAAGCACACATAAACTAGGACGAAATACATTTACAATACTCCTTGTTTAACATTGGTTCTCTGATTTGTGTCATTTCTCAATAAACGTTACCTGCAAAATAAATAAAACCACTTCAGTTAATTTACAGTATTGTTACCTTAGTTTAAACAGACACTTAACAAGTTGTTATCAAGTTACGTACATGATAGATGTGCATTAGATGTGTAGTGATATTTTAAATTAAGTGTTATTCGTGAAATTGTTTGTAGAGAACATAATTTTGAAGCACTGCATCTAAAGATGGTATTATTTTTACCCAACTAAGTGATAAGGAAAGACACCTAGGTGGATCTTATGGTGTCGTGGCTCAAAGAACAGATAATGGCGACCGTCTGTTGCAGCTATGCTCAGATAACCGCCTGTTCCTTGCAAATACTAACTTTAAGCATAAGGAAAAACATCTTTTAACATGGCGACCCCCTAATTCGTCCCAACGTTGGACCCAACTGGATCACATCGCTATCAGCCACCGATGGAGGGGCTCGATAGAAGACTGTCGCTCATTCTGGAGCACATGCCTAGATTCAGATCATGCTCTAGTGCGAGCGCGTATTTGCTTGCGTCTTACTGGACGTAGGAAAGACCCTGCAAGGAAACCTCTTAGGGCCCTACTTAATGATAGTCAAGCTAAGAGTATATTTCAGGAACAACTAGGAAAACAGTTAGGCAGCCATGTATGTGATGCCCACCCCGATGCAGCATGGAATGATATCCGAAAAGCTGTGGAAACAGCAGTGATATCTGCTAGTAAGGTAAACCAGAAGGTTAGGGAGCAACACTGGATCTCAGCAGCATCTATCTCACTGATAGATGCTCGGAAACTCATTCCACCTGGCTCTGAACATAATGAAGAGCGGAGTCAGCTTAAGCGCAAGCTGACAAGAAGTCTACGCAATGATCGCGAACAGTGGTGGGTAGCGAAAGCAAGAGAGATGGAAAAGGCAGCGGCAATAGGTAATAGCAGACAATTGTTCAGACTCGTTAAGGAAACCGGAATTAGGAACCCGACCGTTAGCGAAACAATCTCAGAGAAAGATGGACATATTATTCATTCTCAATCCAGGAGATTGGATCGATGGGCAGAACACTTTAGGGATCAGTTCAACTGGCCTTCAGCCACACTTCGGTTTCCCACGATCTCCAGTCAACCTGAATGGCAAGTTAATGTAGGTCCTCCGTCCCTTTACGAAGTTGAAAAAGCCATAGGAAATCTGAAACGAGGGAGAGCAGCAGGCCCTGACAGGTTTACTCCTGAGATTTTTAAGGATGGTGGTCCAGTATTAGCAATGAGATTAACTGAGGTCTTAGGTAGAATTTGGGAACTGGACGTAATCCCATCTGACTGGTCTCAATCACTGATTGTGCCAGTCTATAAGAAAGGACAAAAGTCCTCTTGTGACAATCACAGAGGAATCAGTTTGACTAATATAGTGTCTAAAATATTAGCTTCAATAATACTTCGACGCCTAACTAAAGCTCGTGAAGAGCAGACTAGAGAAAACCAGGCTGGTTTTCGACCTGGACGTGGTTGTATAGATCAGATATTCACACTACGTCAGGTTCTAGAACACAGACACACATTCAGACGCCCCACAATGGTAGTATTTCTCGACCTTAAGGCGGCATTCGACTCGATTGATCGTGAGGTTCTATGGCAGTGTTTGTCACTGAAAGGAGTACCAAAGAAGTACATTAACCTTATAAAGGCTCTCTACTCGAACACAACTGGTCGAGTGAGAGCTTATGGCGAACTGTCATCAGAATTGATTACCTCAAGTGGTGTTCGTCAGGGCTGTCCACTCTCCCCATTCTTGTTCAACTTTGTGGTCGACGTACTTTTAGAGATAACACTCTCCTCATCTAAATTTACAGGGGTTGAACTTCTACCAGGAGGTTCACTTGTTGACTTAGAATATGCTGATGACATAGTTTTATTTGGTGAAGACACTGACAAAATGCAGAGTCTTCTGACCACTCTAAGCAACAATGCAAGCATGTTCGGGATGCGATTCTCTCCCTCGAAATGCAAAATGTTGCTTCAGGATTGGGTTACATCGACACCCGAACTAGTGATAGGGAGTGAAGTAGTTGAGTGTGTCGACCGCTTCACTTATCTTGGAAGTCTCATCAGCCCTTGTGGTTTAGTGTGTGACGAAATCTCAGCACGGATACAGAAGGCTCGACTAGCTTTTGCCAACTTGCGTCATTTATGGCGTAGGCGAGATATCCGTCTATCAACCAAAGGACGTGTTTACTGCGCAGCAGTTCGTTCCGTCCTACTTTATGGCAGTGAAACATGGCCGGTAAGAGTAGAGGATATCCGTAGGTTACTAGTATTTGATCATAGGTGTCTTCGAAACATTGCTCATATATCATGGGACCATCGAGTAAGTAACACAGTTGTTAGGAAACGGGTACTAGGTAAGGATGGCAAATCAATTGATGAAGTAGTGAAACTTCATCAGTTGAGATGGCTGGGACACGTGTTACGTATGCCCAACGACCGACTGCCTCGACGTGCTATGTTCAGTGGTATAGGAGTAGGTTGGAAGAAAGCTAGGGGCGGCCAAACCAAAACATGGCACAAGTCCATGAAGTCACTGACAAGTGAACTGAGTCATGTTGGTAGGTGTAGACTACCTGGTTGGGGACCGCGAGATGACAGCAACCGATGGTTAGAGACCCTGAATGACATGGCTCAAAATCGTTTGCAATGGCGCAGGTGCATCCACTCTCTGTGTTCTCCCAAATTCTAATCTTCTGAATTCTTCATGTCCCTTTTTTTCCTCTTTCCAAATTTCTTTCACTGGATTATACTCTTTAAATAACATCTCCAAACCCTAATCTTCCCGATTACTGCTTATACTCTTATTACCTCTACCACTACGGGATTTGAATCGACAAGTGCATCTCTGTGCTAATGTGGTGTGGCAACTCGAACTGATGTACGTACGTACGAAGTTCTACGTTGTTACTGAATATATCGTATTGGCTGTTCAGTTCATTTCTGGATCCACCGTTTCAGACGTATAGAAGTACTCATCTTTGCTTTATCATTTAATGTGTTTGAAACTTGAAGTTTACAAATTGTTTGTCATATTATTCTAGGTGAAAGATAAATATTACAAGGATGTAAGGTCTGCTGGACCAAAATCTCGAATTTTACAAGGTATTGACTTAGAAGATGAGTCAGATGAAACTGATGGGGGGATCGCATCGCCTAAGGTTGTTAGTCCGAAAGGCACACTACTTCGATTGGATCCTTCCAACCCTCCGTCTCTGGAGCCTGGACATGTTGTTGTGGTTGGGGCAGCTAGTAAAGGTATCATAAATCGTAATCAGAGACACAATGTTGGTGTTTACCAGTCTCTATACTCGCCAAATCCATTCGATAGGATGACAGACGAAGATCTTGAGCGCTACAAAGAAAATGTTGAACGCAAAGCTAAAGGTTTACCCTCATTAGAGGAGGAAGAGGCAAGAGCTCGCATAGAGGAAGCTCGGCAGGCTGTGGTGGTGGCACGAGAGGCGATGGAAGCAGCCTCTCGTATGGGTACAGAACAAAAATGTAAGCTTTTCCATTTATTGAAAGTTATAATGTTTCTAAATTCTTTCGTAATTAGCACTGAGTCATTTCAAGTATTATGGGTTGTATTTTTTGGTGTCTATCTCATTGAAATGGAGTAACTGGGAAGAATAATCAGAAGATTATAACCTCATTTGATTTCTGCTTTTAATACACTGAATAGAAGTCCATTGTAATATGTGAATTTCTAGCGCCATAAGTCACTTTAGTTGATTTTTATATACTCTGCTCGGCCAATTCATTTTTCCAGATTATCATAGAACCTTTAGTTTTAAGAAATTGGGGTAGGGAATAAAATACATCCAAATATTATGGAATGCCTTTTGTCAACGTAGTTTTTGATTGCTACTCTAGACAACATGTACATTTTGACTAACAATTTATTTGAATGAGTCTCCGATTTGATTTACTGACCGAAGATTACGCTGACTAAATTGAGTACTGTTTCCGCCCAAGTGCAGTGTTGTTGTACAATCAACAATGATAAATATTTTGCTAGTTTTCAGCATCCAAATATGTTTAGCAATAAGAATATGGACTCAATGTGTCACTGTCAACTTAATACTTCATACGTCCTGATCTTTTGATAAACATAAATAAACCTAGAAAACGTTAAGCTTGGAAACATTATTGTTATATAATACTTTCATCCCTTACAGGTTCCCGACAAATTTGTACTTATTATAACTGATTAATTTCGATAATGATATTAGAAGACGAAGATTATCAGAACTATGTGATATATTAGCGCGATACATTTCGAATAATCTGGCCACACTGATTAGTCTATTGTGCAGTATAAAAGTACTGTTCATTATTGTCTGTGGTGTCATACATTTAGCGCAACTTAATCTTCTTCACTGAGTTCAAATGTTAGGATTTCCGATATTAGCGTGACAGATATTCTCATTTGTTTCACCAATCTCAACGAATTGCAATTGTGTTGTTATGAGATGTTAATGTTGACCCTATTTTTGAATTGAGATCACAATTATTTTTATTTCGTACAGTTACACTACAAAATTACGGAGTATATGCTACATGAAGACAGTAAAAACTCACTAGACATAGTTACCTGAATATTTATACCAGTAATTCAGTTAAGGTTTATACTGATAATCTTAACTGAATTTGATTTTGAAGCTCTCGATATTCTGAAAATTGGATAAAATTTTCTCCTTACTATTTTCATATCTTAGATAATGGAGAACCTAGTTTAGACGTAAGTCGTATTCATGCAGTTCGGTCAGATACCAGTGGAGCTGAAGCTAGCCATGATGATACTGAAAAAGAGGTTAGTTATGTTTATTAATTCTAAGGCGTTTATGATTTGAGTAATAGTTAACAACAGTTAAACTTAGAAAGTATAAATACCAGGTTTATTTGTTCGATCAAAAATCAAGAGAACCTAGTGTTTCGTCACCAGTAAGTATAAAGATACCCAAAATATACATCAAGCCTCAAAAGAAACTTCATTAGTTATTGATGGATTCTGATGATTCGTTTTTATTTTTCATCAATTTCTATAAGTCAGTTGCACTACAAATATGGTTTTAAACAATTTGTCATAACCTTGAATTTACCTTATAATCCTTAAGTCATTCTATGGCCTAGGATAACATGACAATTTCTTCCCCTTCATTATTTTCAAATGAACTTTTATTTTATTTGTTTGACCTTTATTATTTTTCATATAAACATGTCTCTTACACATTAATACAAATACCTATCTATAAAGAAATCCTTCACGTCGATTGGATGACTTATTCAGTGTACAGTAAACCGTAGAACCATGTACCTATTTATATTCGATAATTTTGTTGTTTGATTATATTTTCCTTGAAAAAGCTTGGACCAGATTGCCAGGCGAAACGTTGGATTTACTTAAAATTCATTCGCTGAGATTTTACAAATATATTCTTCTTTTTAATGTCTCAAATTAACTCGGCGCCCAAATATTGTGAAACTATTCGTTCAAATTTAGACGAAAGTTCTTATTTATTATTACTAATATCATTGTAGTAATACTTCATGCATAATCGACTTATTTATCGACGAAAATCAAAATAATAGTCGGTCATTGGATAACTACGTGTTAACAACACAGACGTTGCTGTTAGATATTAAAATCTTACATAAAATTCATAAGTCATGATATCAGAAGTCCCTCTAATCCACAGTGTTACAAAGCCAGTAAAACGAAGATTCATAAACAAAATGTCCCAGTAAGATCTACGCAATGATCAGTTTACCTCACCACAAGATTGTCGGCTAATTGGAAAGTAGTATAGAACGTACTGACCAACGACTATGCAGATCTACTTGATATGAATTATTTAAGCTTAACAACAGATTGTATCACATAGATATCACTTGCAAGTATATTGTCCTCTTTGTCTTAACATTCCTATTCATTAGAGTGCACCGTCTCAAACACAATAACATTGTTGACCGAAATACTAATCTCTTAACTTTATTAGGATCCGATTTCAAATGACTACTAGTTATGTACCCGAAAAATATGAACTTCTCTTTGATAGTACGGTGCAAACGTAAAGGTGATTATTGACAAATCAAATGTCTCATCCTTACATTTGAAGAAAGTATGGAACTCAAAACAACTGTCTGCAAGCCATCATCAAAGTCACAATATTCTATACGAGCGTCAGTATAGTCAGTTGTACTATACGGAGCTGAAACTTAGAGAACTACCAAAACCATTATTAAACAGGTACAAGTATTTATAAACAATTGTCTACACAACATACTCAATGTTCGTTGACCGGATACCATCAGCAACAGTGTACTGTGGGAGAGAACAAACAAACTCCAATCTGAAGAGGGAAAAAGACGTTGGATGTGGACAGGACATACACTGATGAAATCACTGATTTGGATCGCAAAGCAAACCGTAACATGAACTCATGAAGGGAAAGGGAAGAGAGGAAAACCAAAGAACACAGTGTATGGAGAATTGTAATCAGACATGAAAAGGATGAATATGAACTGTAAATAAGTGGACAGTATTACGGATGATGTAGTTGGATGAAGAATGCTGGTGTGTGGTCTATTCTTCTTCAGGAAGGGTAACAGGCGTAATTAAGTATTATACCGTCAAACTGACAGGATAGAAATGAGTCTATAGATACTGCCTTTGTAGTTAATTTTATTTGCCTATATGGTTTCTGAAGTCACATATTTTGAGTGTGGTTATAAATTTCATATATTTTTCTTTCTCATATCAGGCTAAAAAAGATGACAGTATATCAGAAAGGAAAAAGAAGCGTCGTTTCAAAATGCCTTCGTTTGCACGAAAATCCAAGATTAAAGAATCGAAAGAGAAGAAATAAATAAAACTGACGATGATATTTGGTCTACTTTTTTATATATAAGTAGGCAATACATCAACGGCTTCAACTTTTTCAGCATTAAAAACATGCGCCAAATTGAATTTAGTCTGAGATACTTTATTGTTTTTTTTTCAATTGCTTCACATCAGTGCGCTCAGCTTTATGTCTGTCTGGTTACCGATTTTCAACTACGTACGCCGGGCTTACATCGAATATAATTCACCTCGCCTTAATTTTCCTGCAATGTCGAATATATAGATAAGATCTTGATTTAATCCTTACATTTCTACGTTTAATCCTCAATCTACTAACTTATGGCTTGTTGTGAAATTTCTTATTATTCGCGCTGATCTTTCACCGTGTCTGTTTGTTTAATTTTAATTTTTCTTGCTTTGTTAGGAATTATGCATTCATTGTTCTTGCGATGGAGTTAATAAAATCCTGATTTTGTCAATTGTTTGTTGTTACTCCTGTGTAGTTTTTATAAAATTATCTTGAAAATCGTATACTGAATCCACTATGGCTTTATTGATAATTTTTTATTTTCTCTACTGGTTTATTATTTGCATCTATAAACGTTCTTTTTTATTTATATGTTTCAGTCTTGCTACATGAAGATTCTGATAGATTGTATTCTCCAGGATATCCATACCAAAAACGTAAAAATATTCGGATACGATTCTCATCTTGATTATGTACTGGCTTGCTTCGATCTATCGTTTAGCAGTCAGTCAACTGCAAAGTAAAACCTGGCAGATTTGTATCATTTCAAGTTGCAACATTACATCAGCGTAGTGAAATAAAATTACCAAAAGTAGTAGTAGAGTGAGCAGAACACCCGTGGGGACAATCGAATGTATTTAACACAAAATTACAGGACTTGTTAATAAAATCTAACAATCATAAAGTAAACGCTTAATTTGCAAAATGTCCATCAATTGTCTCAAAATGACTCAGACTTCATTGTTCTTGCATCTTCATACAAATTGCATTCTGTTTCCATTCTTTACTGTTCGATCCTCTTGTCTCTCTGCTGCCAGACCTTCTGTTCACGACTAACATCATATACTACTTATGTCAATATAAGTAGCACACACCGCACTCGTTCCCCCTTTCAAGCAGTCATTCTTGCTGTGGTTCATGCTCGCCGTGTATCAATAGTAGAAAATATAGAGTATAGAAAGAAAACATTTTCTAAGGAGATTTCAGTATTCATAATTTAAGGGAAGGCTAAAAGTGAGCGCATCTGTGCTATTTCTATCGATTCTGAGCCATATCATCCGATATCTCCAACCACTGATCGATAGAGATTTGTGCTGGTTACTACTTTGTTGATCCGTCTAATATTCACAGTTGTCTCGATATTCAAACTCATAACTGGCATGTTTTTATGCTAGTAATACATGGAGGAATCGTTCATCTGATAGGTTAACTTTTATTTCTTTCATACAAATTCATTTATTAACTTGAAATTACCAAGGACATTGATTAAAGCAGAATCACACGAATTCATTAGATTTCGTTATTTTCTCACCGACTGCTTACGACTAGTTATATTTCAAGATAAAGAATCGCAAATGGAAACCAGCATAATTATGGAAATAAAGTTTATCAGAAGTTAGTGTACAAATGTATCAGTATAGTGTAGTAAGGATGCATATCTTAGAAATAAATTGAAATGTTAGAATCGAAATATTATATGTTAAGATTAGTTCCGAAATATTGACTAGCTTAATATCAAAAGACCACAGGGTGGTAAATAAGTGATTCTGTAATGAAATACACGGAGAGATATTAGTGATTGTTGAGAATAGGATGAGTTAGCGTCAGTTCCGTTCAGGTGTGTAGTGACAAATTTATGCTCAGTGTCACTGGATAATCGTATGATCCGTCACTGGTTGGCCACTTTGATATCCACTCGCAGTGAAACCTGGTTTCAGATTCTATCAGTGGATTAAATGTAGGCGTACTCTACTTTGTCAGAAGCTAGGCCAAAATACTTGTTTATTACTTCCTGATTTTCGGTGGTTTTTTCAAAATAGAACTAATCTCTTCAGCTAACCAAATGGACATTAGAGTGCTTTGATTGAAAATAGAACAACAAAAAGTGACTTGAGAAATCATGTAGACAGTGCCCATAGACACATTTCTATTCTGTCAATTTGACGATACATCGTACTATTAAAAGAGAAGTTCATATTTTTCGGGTACATAACTAGTAGTCATTTGAAATCGGATCCTAATAAAGTTAAGAGATTAGTATTTCGGTCAACAATGTTATTGTGTTTGAGACGGTGCACTCTAATGAATAGGAATGTTAAGACAAAGAGGACAATATACTTGCAAGTGATATCTATGTGATACAATCTGTTGTTAAGCTTAAATAATTCATATCAAGTAGATCTGCATAGTCGTTGGTCAGTACGTTCTATACTACTTTCCAATTAGCCGACAATCTTGTGGTGAGGTAAACTGATCATTGCGTAGATCTTACTGGGACATTTTGTTTATGAATCTTCGTTTTACTGGCTTTGTAACATTATGGAGTATAGGGATCTATGAATTCTATCTGAGGTTTCAATTTGTGTACTTCGAAATTCTCAGGGTCATCTCTACAATAAATTTATTGGGACAAGGTTATAAAAAATATTACTTGCCATTTGGATTTCTTCAGCCTTCATTCTAATATACAGTTATATTTGTATAATATATATTTATGCTATATTTATTCAATCAGTCAAGGTTATTCATCATCGTTTTACAGCAGATGTGCATGAATTTGGAAGCTATGGAAGATGCAATTGGAAATCTATTTCTATTTTATATGATAAGTGATAGTCTGGAATCTTTGTTTTTTCTGTTTAACACTGATCCACAAAATATATGCCCAATAATGTAGGAAGTAATACCTATTCAGTAATTCTATATAATTGAACATGATTTTTAAGAGTAGGGGGTATTCATAGGTTACTTGTACTTGATTATATGTCTTCGAACCTTTACTCGTATTTTTCGGGACCACTGAGTGAGCAGAGTTGGGGTATTGGATAAGGTATGGAGTGTACTAAATCGGCTGATAAAGTAGTAAATTTTCGTCAACCGATGTGATTGGGACATCTATTACGTATGTCCAACTACTGCCTATCTTGATGGACTATGTTTTTTGATGTAAGAGTAGTTTGGAAGACCATTTGGGGCGGCCAAATCAAGACTTCTTATCAGTCCATATAGTCACTGACTATTGGACCGACCAAATATAGGTAGATGAAGACTATATGATTGGGGTCCGGTGATTATCATCACCAAAGGTTAGAGAATTTAGGTGACATGTCTCGAAATTGTACGCAGGTGCATTAACTCTTTTATGTTTCCCAAGTTCCGAGATCTCAAAATCATATCTTTAAACCTTTACCAATACCTAAACTTTTGTATTATAATAGTAATTATTATTACCGATATAGTTAGTACTACTGCTACTACTGGGTTGGTTTTGAAATTTTCATCTCACTAATGTTAATGTGGTATATAAACTTTGGCCGATGAATATGTATTAGGTTTTATGTTTCATTATAACTGAGTGATTGATTGTATGGTGATAAGTCTCATATCAACTTAATTCATCACGTTCTTATATATTTATACAGCAATGTTGAACTAAGTCATCAATTCATTATTTATTCTCTCTATCTTTGTATTAACAAAATTTAACAAATTTATGATGATTTATAGTTATAAAATTAAGTAGATAAATCTTTCAGGATCATCATTCGACAGTCAAATTCCATTCGTTTTAAATTCTCCGGAGCCAGAGCCACCAAACACCTCAAGCCATATTTATGTATCCAAAAAGAAAATGTTTCTTCACGATGACGACGTCATCCTTGCAACTTTTTTCTCCATCTTATTTTAATTGTATCATTTCATCCAAATTCATAACTGTATATTTAATTGACTGATGTCATCTGATGGGATGTCCAGACAATGTAGAAGACCGTGAGAACCAGTGGAATAGCAACGGAAATGAGGAGATACAACGTGAAGGCTGTCGAGATTAGTGAAACCCATTAGATCCAAGCTGGACAGAAAACATCAGCTACGGGAAAGGTGCTGTTTACCCTAATCATGAAGACAAAAATACTTCGCACACAAAAAGAGTCGCACCGATGCTGTATAAAGAAGCACGAAATGCAATTATAGAATGGGAATTTCATGGATCCAGAATCATCAAAACATCCTTCAAAACAAATAAGAGAATCATAATAAATATTATCCAATGTTATTCACCCACCAATGATAGCAATGACGACGATAAAGATCAGTCCTACCAGAGGCTGCAATGGATCATAGCGATGTGTCCAGTAAATGACCTGACCATGTTGATGAGAGACCTAATCACCAAAGTCGAACTGGACAACACCGTGTATGAAGATATCGTGATATGACATAGACTAAGAGAAAGGAACCATAATGGAGAGAAGTTTGCAAATTTATGGTTATAGGCGACATAATATTCCCTCATAAACGCATACACAAAGTAATATTGGTCTCATCGGATCACACTACAGAGAAGCAGATGGATCATATCTGTATGACTTAAACATTCAGAAGGTCAATGGATGTCGTGATAACTAGAGGAAGAGCCGACATAAATTGAGATGACCATCTGATGGTGGTCATGATGAAATTGATAGCAAGAAGGACTGGATGACTGGAGAAGCGGCAGATACAAGTATTGATCAACAGTTGTCTACACAACATACTCAATGTTCGTTGACCGGATACCATCAGCAACAGTGTACTGTGGGAGAGAACAAACAAACTCCAATCTGAAGAGGAAAAGACGTTGGATGTGGACAGGACATACACTGATGAAATCACTGATTTGGATCGCAAAGCAAACCGTAACATGAACTCATGAAGGGAAAGGGAAGAGAGGAAAACCAAAGAACACAGTGTATGGAGAATTGTAATCAGACATGAAAAGGATGAATATGAACTGTAAATAAGTGGACAGTATTACGGATGATGTAGTTGGATGAAGAATGCTGGTGTGTGGTCTATTCTCCTTCATAAGGGGTACTAGGTGTAATTAAGTAAGGTCTCAAATCGTGCTACTCTTAATCACTATTAGTTTTTGTCCAACCACTTTATTGTTTAATCTATGATCTCTTGTAACTTCATCTGACGATCTAGACTATTCTTTCAAATATTATATTTAGTTATATTGTTATATACTTCATTACTTCACCACAATGATACATATCCAACTTCTCTGTTATAATTAAGTAAACTTTACAATAATTTTAAAATATTACATGTTGTTAACGGATGATGAGAACCTAACGAGTTAAAATGTGTTCATGTTATTCTGCTCATTTCTTTGTTTTTTTTTCCTTTTTTTCATGATAATAAAAGAAGATAAGTGTACAAAATGATAGTACCTGAATAAAACATAATGTTTGTTTGACATTGAATGGTAATCGATAATAATAATAATAATAGTTATAATCTATGGACAGATTAGGAACACATATCTTTCATACTCTTAAATATCAATAGACATATCGAAGTCATTGAAGGTAAATAAATTATACTGACTGAAACTTTTTCAAAGATGACAACTTAAATGTCTATGATTAAAAAAAAACAGGAATATTATTAGAGTTATTTTATGACTGTTAAGTAAACTGAAGAATATGTTCGTTAAATGTTTGAAGACAAAAAGAATTTTTATCTTCCGGATAATTTTATTTACAACATTGTTTAGAAGGAACAGATGGTTTTAGTCTATTATCATCAAAATAATATTTGTCATCCATTTAAGAAATAGGAATTTTGTTTTAATATTGATATTAATGACTGAAATATAATGATAATTTAGGCTAATTAAGATAATTGTCAAGTACAATTTAACTGAGAAATA